ATGTTATAATTTGATCGTGAATAAAAGAAACTCCGCCAGTATTCCCCAAACATCTTGATCTGTAGCCGAACTGGTCAAATAACCATCGTGTATAGGTCAGTTCGGACAAGTCTGTCAATTTGAAGAGGAGTAGTATGTGGTGTGGTCTATACCGCCGAGTATCAGTCGAGATGACGCCAAAGTAAACATGAACAAGAAAGCATCTTGAAGGAATCATGCTTGGAGATATGAACGGACAAAATTCGTGTGGATGTCGCACAGCAGTTGTGGTTGCTTGTGTGTTGGCCGTGTAAGGCCGTGTTGGAGTCGAGTAACGTTTTCAGAAATAGTCTTTGATGAAATAAGCAGGCGACATTCTGCTTTCTACATGCTCAGAATATTGCCTCGTCATGTGTCATAGTTCAACGGTTCTGAGTGTTTCGGTGAAAGCTACCTTAAACACTTGGAGTCATGGGTGAAAATTACCTTTTATGGAACGATATCCTATTCATCCCCGAAAATATATTTCAAGTGATATCAAAAATCAATCTTTTACCTGCTGGTGTAATCAAGCAGACGTGTTCTGTAAGTCTGAATTTGGAATTATCTGGTAGTAGTAGAAAATTAATGAAAAGATGATTTAACTGAGCAGCCGACAGTACACAATTGACTCTTTGTTGAGGTTATGGATTGGCTGTCTCAAATATCGTTCATGTATGCGTGTGTATATCTGTCAAAATTATAGCCTTCCGTAATTTATATTTATGTATTCATTGACCATCTTTTGCAAGAATGTGAATGAAGTTCCCAAAAACGAAGCTGAAGCATCAAAAATCTCTTTAGTTTTAAAAAGTGTCAGAGGCATACGAGGCAATACTTTATGCTACACCATTTGTGGTACAATTTGACAATGACAGCGTTCCATATATGTTTCCTAAAGCCTGATCTTGTTTTGTAATTAAACGACAATATTTACTCTCAACTAAAACATAAATTAATCGCGACAGAACGACTGCAGGCAAATGCGTTATCAAACTTTTAATTTGTATATTCTACGCTCGTAGGGTCTCCGAAGTAATTTATCATTAAGAAGTAGATGGTCCCGTGGGGGCGGGCAAATCAAATCAAGCTCTTCCCGATCGCATCTATACCTATTAAATAAAACGCAGAGAAACGTAGGAAATCACGTTTTATCATTTAATTATATTTGTATTTTTTACACACGGTGTCTCTATTTGCCTATAGCGCAGGGGCAAATATTCATCAAAAGATTCGGATTATAGCTGAATCACTCAATTCTGATTATAGCTTTAAGTGAAGTATTCCGAATGACTTTCATCGTGTTTTCCCTACCTTGGGAATTCTGTTGAAATGGAAAATCATTTCCTGCAAATAACACTTGTACATCAACGATATCTTTGAACTGTAGCGACAAAAGGTGGCCCGGGTATACTTTATGATTATACGCCTTTGGAGTTTTGCACAGATAAGAGTTTGAAATGAGAAAATACGGATAAGTGAAGGATAAGTGGTAGTAATTAGTACTTTAATTATCATTAAAAGCTGTTTTGAAACTCAATTTGTTTTAGAAAAATGCATAGATATATTATTCATGCAATGCCATTTACGTTTTCCAAGTGTACATTCATGCTCTAAAGTCTTGAATAAAATCTCGAGATTATGTCCTTTTAACCGGTGTCTTCAAAAAGATTCTTTTGGCGACGTATTGGAGAAAGAAATAAAGGAATGTCATAATTCACAAAGGTAGTTCAAAACATAACGATAAAATAAAGGAAGATATGCCTTAATCATTCATTCAAACTTATATTACCGTCCTTTAAGTCTCAATAAGTAAGTGAAAATGCAATTATCTATTCCCCTTTCACATCAACTTGGCGTTTTTACGGCGACCTTTACCGGTATATAATATTGTCGGAAAACGCTGTACTAGGAACCCTGGGTGCCCTTTTACCGACAAAGGCGGTCGTAAGTGCGACCAACTCTTAGCTACGACTGGCCTGTAGGACCATGTGATAAAACGGCATCCCGGTGATTTGTTGCAACAAAAATAGCATCTGCCTGCACTACAACACCTTTCAAACTGGAATTTTCTACTCTTGAAAAATGCATAAACCTTACAAAAGATTTTACTTGGTCTTCAGAAATTGAGCACATTCAAGATAAATGTTCTTTCTGTTTAAATTTTCGTATTGATGTATATTAGTCTTTATAATGCAAAGCCTTTGAAGTGGTTTTCTTTTCAAATTGTTCATCATGTTACATTGTGAGCTTTGTATTTATATGAAAATGGGCTTTTACTTTGGACCCTCTCAGTGAAAATCAAACATGTCTGACAGTGCCCAATCGCCTTAAGTCGTTCCAGACTCTACCCTTTGGCGACCCTGAGGCGTTTGCACTGCGTCCTAGGTCACCCTGCGAACACAATAAGGTCGAAAGTCCGGTGTAACAGGGGAATTTGTTAATCTGACCATAGAGCCACGAAAATTACTAACTTTAGCCTTTTAACAACTAGGCACATTGTAGACAGATTTATTTGACTGCTTTTATAAATGACAACCATGCTGCAACAAAAAAGCAAGAAACGAAGTGCTCATAATATGATTTATTCCGATCTACCGTTATTATGTTAAATACTATAAAAGAGCTGATGATATTTAAAATATCTCTAAAATATTGGTACAAAATCTCAATGACTTACAACATTTATCTCTAAATTCGAGGCCAGAATTGTTCATTACAAAATTTTAGAAGGGTATATAGGAATTTAAAAAAAACGACAACAAATGTCCTGTACACATAGTTTACAATTTTTTTATTTTTGGAAAAGCACCGAAAGATTTGACAATGTGATAATTTCCCTGTCGACAATGTAGTTTCCTGACACAAATTGGTTTAAGGCACGGTTTCTCCCAACAACCACTGCTATTAAATAAGCAATTGAAGCACCACTGCTGATACTAGAAGATGGAATTCCCACACTTCTACTAATTTGGTTTTGGCCACACCTAGAGAAATAGTTAACAAATTAGTACTGGTTAATTGCCCGCCGGTGGATAATTGAGGCACATTTGGGAATACTTACTGGATCTACATCAAAACAGAAATTGACAACAAAAACCCATTTCACTTTCATATTTCGAAGACGTAGATAATAAATTTAATTTGTGCAGATAATTAAATTAATTCCTATAAGTTTACAGACATGGACATAAATATCATTGATTTCGATCATTGATTTTTCCAAATCCTGAACTAAATTTACAATTTTCTAATTAAATTAAACGTGTTATATGTAATCCCCATCCCCAGAGGGACCCCCTCACAAGCTGAAACCAGAAACACGGGAATGTCACGTTGTTACAACTTACATACTTGTAAGTTTTATTGTTTTATCAACAACATAATAATACAAAGAAGCTGACATTCGTTTTAAGACGAACAATCTCAATTACATTTGTACTTGTATCGAAATTGACGTCATGTGTTTATTCATGATTTCGAGAACAAACATGGCTGCAAAAAAGCATGCCTATTAAAAACTGAGTCTATTTCTTCCAGTTTAATTGTTTCAAAATACTTCAAACAATTTGTTTGTAACAAAAATCAACAATTTGTTTTACTTCCACGAACAACTTCCTCAAATACCTATCTGTAAAGGATTGTTTTATTGCAAAAATAGCTTTCTCGGTAAATCCGGATTACAATGAAGGCAAAACAAATACGGTGGCAATCAGTTAACATGCAAGAAATAACATAAGTAGATCTAAACTTTAGTCAGATAACTCCGAATACAGCTCCTCATCTACCTTTCGAGCACTATTCGGTGGAAAACGTCAACTATGTGCTCTGTACGGCAACAACTATGCATCCTTGAAGATCCAATATGCGTATGACAATTGGTAAGTTTTATTAAATACTTGTAGGTTGAACTAACAACATTTGCAACTTATTGTATATAACGTTTACTGTTTACACTATGCTGCATTATCCCCACTACAATCGGTACGGGGTATTGAAATGACGTTGTATGTCAGTCCGTTCGTCCGTCCGAAGTCGTGTTAGAAACGGTTGTCCAATTTTCAAAATTCTGGCAGGAATAAGGCCACACAGTTTCAATCAATCAATCAAAAACCATTGTCCTTTGTTATCTATAAAATCCTTATTGATGATTACATTCTAATGAAACTTATGAAAGTTATACTAATTAGAAAATGTTGCTCATTAAATATTATAAAACTGTTAACATGCATTTGAGTTATTGTTGTTACTTTTTAGCCGTAGTTTACCAATGGTTTATTAAATTTTAATGAAACGAAATTAATGCCGACTTTTTTCATTAGATTACGCAAATTACATTGTACACAGTTTACACTGTTTTGATAACATATACAGCATATGTTGAGCTTATTTGCATTTTAACAACGTGTACATCTTGCGATGAGAAGTATTTTCTTGTTGACGACGTAAGATGAGCTTTATTTGCTCGATGATAATGCTTACAGTTGATGTTGAAGGCTTACATAGCTTATGTTCACGTTTAACAACGTGCACATCTTACGCTTAACTTTAAAATGCTAACTCACAATGTATACAGCATAAAATGAGCCTCATTTGCTCTTTGTCAACGTATTCAGCTTATTGTGAAATTCATTTGTACAAACAGTTTGACAACGTTTTACGCCGAGCTTTATAAGCTGGCTGATAACGTTGACATCTTACAGAGCTTTATTTGCTCATTCAAAACACATGCATCTTATGTTGAGATTTATTTCCAGTTGACAACGCGCATATAGATTACTTTGTATTGGCAATGTATACACTTTACGAAAGTTTACGTAAACCATTCTTTTGATTCTGAAAATGGTATTTCGTGATAATCTATGAGTTCACAACTGGAATTGTAACAGAAACAGTAACCTTGGGATACAGTAGCTGTACTGAAGGTACATATACAGCTTACAGTGAGCAGTATTAGATGTAAGTTGTATATGATTTAATTAAAGCCTATATTTATAGCTGACACCAGAGTTTCAAGTTGCTGTCAGATAATAATTTTAATGATATAATAACAAATGCTTCAGTTTGTTTATGCAAAATAATATACATTTGTAATACCAAAACAACTAGGTTTTCGCTCTTAGTTCCTTTCTACAAATTAAACATACCAATATAGACACGCACGAAAACGTTATTTTATGGTTTGGACGAAGATAAATTACTTTTATGGATTGACTCTAGTGTCAGTGCGCTGTTTGGTTAAAGGGAGGCTATACATGCAAAATATCTCGAAAACTCAACAAATTTACTTCCCTTGAATGCCTACTTGTTTTCCGATTGTTACAAAAAAGTTCGATAGTAAAGTATTCAACATCTTTCACAAAAAGAAACAATACGTTTTGTTGTATATATTTTTTAAAAAGTTTATTCTATAGCTTTATCCCGTCAACAGCAAATTTATTGATATAAAATCCTTGTTAGGTAAAATTGCTCGTGTCCCAAATCCTAGTGCACGTGGTAGGGTCACATTGCGTTGATTCTGTCTGATTGTTTCATTTAAATCTTGGGACAGATTTATTAAACTGGGATAATTATATCTATAAGCAATACAAATGAGGAGAGGCGGTAAGATCTTATGAGAAAATAAAATGAAGGACTCGTGAGTTCTATTTTTTAAGTGGCTGATATTTTCCTTGACAATATCGGATGAAGACACAATATCTTCAGCCGATAATCTAAAATACAACACACTGAACGCTAGTGAAGAAGTTGCTAGTTACTTGCTGTTGCATTGACACAATTACAAGTAATTATGAGCAAAGGGAGGCCAATGCGAACAAGTTGTATTAGAAATTGAAGTAAGTTACTTCATTTGAACAAGATTGGCGAACAAATCGATATGGTGTAAATGATCTTTAAAGCTTCATGTCTCCAGATAAGTAAAGTAATTTCAAGAAAAACAACTTTGAGAAAAAAAATTTATACCTAACAAAGATTTATAGAAAAGTAAAATGATACACAATTCAAGTAATGATTTACTTGTTTCAACGCAATTGATTTTGCAGTATTTATTGCCATATTTCTACTGCGTGACTAACGCAGTAGGAGCTTATTTTGCACCTTTATTTGGTAATTTACTTGGATTTAACGAGCAATGTGTAAATAACTTTCTTTGTTCACTTAACAATATTTCATATCTTAATACATTTTCAAAATTTTCATAAAAATCAGCATGAATCTGAAAACGTTGAATCCTAAAATAGATAATCACTCTGATTTGCTATAACAATTTTATCACAGTTAAAGCTATCATTACATTTAATTACTAGACTTTTCCTGGACAAATTAACTTGATTTTCTCTGGATGCGCATTTATAAAGTGGGTACATACAGTATATGGAAAACTTAGATCTGCTCAGCCTGAATACCATTAGAATGTTTTATTTTAACTTGTACCATACTAATAAAAAAAGAAAGAACAATATTAGTAACTGTATGTGAAGTGTCTGTTATTTGAATTTAGATACGATGAACAAAAATAACGCTACATGTGAACAATAACTTATTCTAACGAATAATCTAAAATCCCGAATTTGATTTAAATACAATTAGTTTATACAAAATTTATTTTAGTTCCATTATGTAGGGAGCCCTAAGCTTATAGACACACACTCGAATCTATTATTGGAACCAGCCAGGTCTAGTTTCATCCTCAAGGAAAAAACGGCTAACTGTATATGTCATATACACGCTAGAGTCAATTCGTATTAGTATGGCATGTCCTCAGTTAATAAAATAATAATGAAAGAAAAAATATCACAATATCAAATTGTATATACTTATATTTAGTTCTTTTCAAAGGCATTTGTAGGAAGAGACAAAGAGAAGTAAACTTCTTTCTCTTATTTGAACTGCACATGTCTTAAACGACCGTTTACTTGTTTCACATACTAGTACTTGATGAAGTGTACCAAAACGACCACTTCTTTTCGCCAGGCAGGGGGATAAACAAACAGCCATTAGATTGTCAGTCAAATTATCTAAAACAATATGACAGTCTTTAGCATCCTTCACGAAGGACCAATGTTTCACAGTCCGTTTTACAGTTAATGTATATATACCCTTTAAAAGTAATACAAAAAGTATTTATTTACTGTTTTTTTTTTCTTCCTTAATCAATTCAATTATGACTGGAAATATTGAGTGTTACAACTGTGCCGCAACTTAATTAACTAGTTCGCCTATATTGTCTGTATTGAAAGATTTATATTTTTGTTTTATTTCTATTAGTTTCTTTTGGTTCCGACCTATGCTCTTCTAATTATTGTACCTAATTCAACCCATCTTTACTGTCTATGCTGACTCTTTCCCTCTTTCACTTTGCTGGCTATTTTGCCCACTAAAGTTAAAATTTTAATACTGTACGGTTTTCTCGCGCACACTTTCGCGTAACTTTCTGTTGATGTTTACTCCATTCTCCTTTATTTGTATATATCAGCATGTGGGGCTATGTCAAAAATACTAACGGGCCCACGTATACTTACTCTATTTACGAAATATGTATGGACCCAATGGTGGTCAGTAAAAGAGTAAAAATACGGTTGCCTTTTCAGCCCTTTAAGTTTCAATGAAACACACGCCTGTTTCTGAATATATGACATGCTCTCAAATAACTTGTAGCAACGCTCTTTCATGTATGGAAATTTCGTTGGGTCAATTGTCGGAAAAAAGTATTCCGCCGGTGCGAGATAAACGCCGTCGTCGTCAGTTGGCTTGAGTTTAGAGTTGTCCACATAATCATGGTAAACAAACGTGGCGTAATGTGGTCCCGTACTATCAAGAACATTCCACATGTGTGCAAATTTAGGAAGAGTTTCCAGGAACTTTTTCATGAGCGGATGTCCTGATCTACATGCCATGAAGGCGTTAATCACGAGATGTTCAAAGTTTGAATCAATCATTGGATGCTCATACGGTTCTTGTGGCAGAATACACGAGTATTTTGTTACGATGCTATTTAAAGACGATAAACTTTCCATATCAAGGTCAACATACACGCCACCATACTCGTGTAATATGACGTAGCGCATTGCGTCTGCGCGGCGGATGTTCTCTAAATACATGTCATACGCCGGAAGTAAGTGTGAGTATTTATCGGAAATGAGTTTTCTGGCACTTTCATCAGTCCAAAACATGTACTTCCAGTCAGGATGATTCTTAGTCCATGTTTTTACCCATTCTATATAGTGATGCGGAACATCTGTTGTTTTCCACGTTTGGTGAATAATCTTTTCCATTCGTGCTGGTCCGTCCGTCGGAAATTCCTCCGCCACTGTTATTCCGAGGTCTGGGAATTGTTTCAAATCTAATTTCTCAAAGCCAGGAATCTCGATCTGAAAAAAAATGAATTAAGATGCTTTTTATATTCAGTTATTTAGTATAAAATGTGCATATTTCGAAGATACGTGTATATGTATTTCAAGTTTAAAATGAAACAGTTTAATAGTATTATGTTAATAATGCATGTAACATTAAGATTCATAGCAATGTTGTGAGTATGCATAAATTTATTATGAAAATAAAAAAATGCAAAAAGTGAAAGAAAATTGAAGTTATTTTTTCTCCTTATCAAAATAATAAATTCAGATACATGTGAACAAGATTTGCTGAAAAAGTGTTTGCACAAAGTAGACTTACATTTATAGCTTTAAAACATACAACTGAAAACAGCAAATGTCGAAAATAGAGATATTAGATAAAAGAGCATTTAAATCTCAGTTTTTTAAAGAAAATATTAAAGAGATTATTAAATTTTAACAATATGATACCTCATTAGATGATCCCCGGAACTTGAAACAGGCAAATATCAAGATCACTGCCCCGACAAAAAGCAAGATTCGCACCCGGTTCCTTGCTGATGAAGACCGCAACATCATGACCATACAACCTCACCACGTCCAACTCAAGGACTCACAGGAACAACATAACCTGTACTCTTCCCTACAAATTAAACCAACAATGAATTATACTGAATTTAACGTGCTATTCATAAATGAAGTTTCATCAAAACTTTCTGTGATTTGTACACTTTTGAACTTGATTATATAATTTTCTATTTGAACTCTGATATTACCTTTCTTGTTTGAAATCTGTCCATATTGTGTTTGAGTTTCATTTATAGACAATTTAATTTGAAACCGGTGTTTATAACAAGAAGTATGAACAGTTAATAAATAAAAAGCTTCAATTGTTGATAGTGAATTTTTAAACTGCATGGTTAACGGCTAAGTTACATTCGTTGTTTTTTTTCTACTTTTAAAGGATTAAAGATAACTTTAATTCAAGTTTGAACAGGACTTTTACATATGTCCTACTAATGTTTTCTAATTCTTTTTTTTCCCATAATATCTCATGGAATTCATTTTTCCCTTCATATTTTAATAAATAGCTTGATATTGTAAATGGTTGTGAATGAGGCTATTGTGAACTTTTCATATATGATATAAACAAGAAGTAATAGTTCATTTAATGATAAGGTACAATATGCAAACAGGGAGATAACTTTATCTCTCTTATAAAGAGGTGGGTTTTCAATATTCAAATTAACCTCTGTTATCAGCGATGACTAATTCCACATATTGACGAGTGGAAATAGTGACATAATGACAAGAATATTTAACTTCTATATTCTATGTCGTTGTTTTTAGATATTACAGTCTACAGTCAATGAATTCAAATTGCTTTAGGTATTCGTAAATACCCCAACAATGTAACCCCACTTTCGATATATGTGCCACCAAAAAGCTACAGACTAATTCATAGATAATGCAGAGAAACTTCGCGTTTTATATAGTATACATGTATATCTCCGTCACTTCTCCAAACTCCAATATCACTTGATTTCAATGACCAATGAATGTCGTAAGTAATAAACATATTACTCAAATTAAGTTGACAATTCGAATCCCACCAGTTACCCCGGATTTCTTCATACATGACTAAGATATCCAGTTATCTGGCTAAACTAATTGAAGAACTGCACGGAGATGCACTGAGGTCTTCTTCCCACGGTACAGTAGGGAAGTCTATGTGACCTTTACCGTGTCAGCGTGACTTAAAACACAGTAACAACAACAGCATCAAAACTTTGTTAAAATTATCTGATTAACCACGATTTAACGTTATAGCAATAAAAATATAAATAATTCATAATTACCATTAATGACTCACTGTAATCCATATTTTACTCATTCTTTAATATTCACAATCCCATCTATCAAACTATTTCCTTGTTTTAAACATAGTTTAAACATAGCAATTACGTTCCGTAACATCTGACGGCCTTTGATTGAGAGTTTTGTTTGAACAGAACTGATAAGCGCTTTAAGTTTAGCTAGATAAGGGGATATAACACGACACAAGGCAAATATAAATATTTCATTACAAATATGCTAAACAAACGTTATATATTGAGGATATCTAAATTCTAAACTTTGAATGAAAGTGATGGAGAGTGTTGTAGGGGTAGAGGAATAGTGGTGTATGTGTTGGTTGGAATCCTAAGCCGGAGGTGATGGGCTAAAATCTCTTATGTGGTGTGGTTTTCACACAATGTCAACCCTCTACACTGGCTCGAGTATTGGTTATGACACACAGAAAGGAATCAACTGGCTTTAAGCACATATCTAGGTTCCCTTAATGGGATTTAACATGAAAACAAAACAAACGAAAGGACACAGTGACCGCAAAGTACAGCGCCACAGAGTAACGCATTTTGTCATAAAGTTACAAGATAAGACAGATGAATAACTACGCAAACTTATGTGATAGTACAGAATGACATTTAAACTTTAGTTTGATTCCTATCAATGAAAGGCGATTTTATAAAATTAACTCGTACCCCGCTTAATATCATTAATGGGCGTGTCCATCTTTCAATCAGGACTAAACCATTCAACATATTTTAGGGAAATTTTACAAAATATGTACCGTCAGGATAGCGACAGTGCAGTCCATTTTAGGCGGCACAAATATGCGGGGTGATCTTGGTAAGCACATGTCGCATGGGGTAAAAAAATGTTTCCCCCCCCCCCCCCCCCCGCAGCTAGCCAAGAGTCAATTAAACACATCAGAGAGAAAATACAGTCATTTTTAGTCCATTTATGAGAGAATAGTACAAAACTTACCTTACAATAAACACTCGGTGAGAATATAATAAAACTCTTATTAGCAATTCATATCTTTATTATTTAAAATTATAACAATGACAATAATTTTAGTACCATATAAATCACATATAGCATAACAAAGCATATTCAGTTATCAATAAAAAAGGCACTGTTTTATATAATAAGCCAAATTGTTTCATTTTATGAACGTGACTGTCATGTAATATTACACCAAGTACTCCGGAATCTACCCTCCAAATCTATTCCAATTTACTGAAAGTTCATCAAAATGTTAAGCGACTCAAATCATGCTTCTCGCTGTAACTCCTTCCTTTCTAAAATATCACATGCTAATCAAACAGGAATAAAATGTAAAATTCATCACTAAAAAACCACTCTTTAATTCAATTAAATTAATCATAATAGAATTAATATACAAAATAAGATTACAAACTCTGTTAGAAATATATAACAAATTATTTGATAACTTTAGGTTCCTTGATAAATTCCTTTTAGTCGACTTATTTCATAAAATAAAACAGAATTTTATCAATTATCTGCATTAAACATACTGCAAATTAATTTTCAGCTACCTAAGTTGACTAAATTTTTTTTTTACTAACCTGTATACTTGTAAGGTATAAAAATATGCTAGATTAAAGAAAGCGTTTTTTATAAACTTTCTAAAAATGTATGGGAAGCATTTTTTTATTCTCTCTACCCTTTAATAACAATGCCATTAATGAACAAAATGAAAACCAACCCCAAAAAAAGTAAAATGTGCAAGCAAGTCAAGAAAATTTTGGCCGCGTCATGACAAAACCAACATAATGCGTTTGCGACCAGCATGGATCCAGACCAGCCTGAGCATCCGCGCCGTCTGATCAGGATCCATGCTGTTCGCTCTCAGTTTCTCTACTTGTAATAGGGTTTGTAAGCGAACAGCATAGATCCTGATCAGTTTTACTTGTAAAAGGGTTGGAGGATCCTGATCAGACTACCTGATGCGCAGGCTGGTCTGGATCCATGCTGGTCGCAAACCCATTATGTTGGTTTTGTCATGACGCAGCTCAATTTTGTTTAATATACATGTACAACCTTGCAATAAAAAAACACAACAGAGGGTCTTTCTGTTAACATTTCTTATCTATTAGATTTTTTCATATGATAAGGCTCAGTAGTTTTACTCAGGCGCCCACTTGTGCCTGAAATAAAACACATAGGGATTTCCACCACCAGTAAAGCTGGAAAAAACGCCAAATAACCATAACAGTGCTGGTGCAACTTGAAATCCAACCAAAGCCAAAAAATATATTCTATTGAATGTCATAACCTCATATAATACAACAAAAAAAACATTTCATAATAAATTTAAACAAAAAAAAATGTCATGACATGGTAACAATGTTATGTAATGTGGCTTGCTTTAAACTTTCTATCTTAACATCAAACACAAATGTTCCCAGTATACAAAAATCAGGTATTGTGGGGGTAAGGTCTTATAATCAAAAAGAGCTTTTGGTAGGAAAGAGTGCTCAACTATTCTTGTGCTTGATAGTGTAACAAGAGCCTGGAAAATGTAGATTTTCTAAGTTAAACAAAGGCCACATAATACCATCAAAATCCATGTTAGAGTAATGGTGCCTCAAATAATGACCTCCAATTACACTCTCAAATAAGTGTGTGAAGTTTCAACCTATCCCTTCAGTGGGGATACTGTCTTGCATGAAAAAATTAAACCAAAGTTTGATGCTGACACTGACACCTGGCTGAGTACTATATCTCTCCTTATTCTTCGAAAAGTTGTGCTTTTATTATTATCCTTCTTTCCTCAATATGTATTTCTAGCTACACATTCACATGTTCACATTAACAAAGACATTCAGTCACTCTCTCTAAATATATAGAATCATAATAGTGTAATACACCTACATTCAAAAGCATATTTCATATAACAAATTTACAAACATGTACCATTTTAACATCACAATATGTATAGATTGGAAAACAAGCATAGCAGCATAGCATTCATGTAAATTCCTTTCAATATGACCTTATAACACATGTCCTACAACAACACAAAATTTCTACTAGAACGGAGAAATGCTTAAAACATATGGTTCAGTCCGGTGGCGAGGGTAAACAAACCAAACACACACACACAAACACTTTTTTACAGTTAATGGAGAAAAAATTTTAAGGTTATTTATCAAAACTTTACAGTACATATCATCATCCAATTCTGTACTGATTTGAAAATACCCATTTTTAATACCCATGCCTAAAGCACAAAGCATTGCAACTTTGTTTATTTGAACATACTGGCAAAAAATTGACATAATATTTAATTAAAATGTAACAATCTTTGTACTTATCTTTTATAATGGAAGATGGTTTTATTAATATATATAGCCCATCTTTTACTGTCTTGTTTCTTTTTTATATACACATAGTCCATAGCAGTATAAAATAGTACCCATGTTATACAATCATATATGATGGCCATTGGGCATCTATTTTGTCAGTCTAAATAAAGTAACATATAATTATATATCATATTATCTTCATCATTCAAGTCATTTTATTACATTTATAATACTTCTGTGTGGACAAGCATGGATACAAAACAATTCCAGGCAACAGTAGAAAAACAAGATATGTTTGTAAAACATGTATGCCCCCTATCAGCAGCCAATTAGTCATGTGATAAGGTTATTATGCATGACTTCTGACCCAGTGATCAAACAATTAATAAGGGTTATAAAGTATCTACTGGTCATGACCTTGACCTTTGACCCCTTGACCAAAAACTCAATAGGGGTCATCTGCTGGTCACGACCAATCATCAAACAAAGTTTGAAGTTCCTAGGCCTAGGCGTTTTTAGTAAATTGATCAGAAACCGTTTTTACCTACAAGGTCAATGTGACCTTGACCTTTGACCCCTTGACCCCAAAATCAATAGGGGTCATCTGCTGGTCATGACCAATCACCATGCCAAGTTTGAAGTTCTTAGGCCTAAGGGTTCTCTTATTATTGATCGGAAACCGTTTTAACATACAAGGTCAATGTGACCTTGACCTTTGACCCCAAAATCAATAGGGGTCATCTGCTGGTCATGACCAATCACCATGCCAAGTTTGAAGTTTCTAGGCCGAAGCGTTCTTTAGTTATTGATCAGAAACCGTTTTTACTTACAAGGTCATTGTGACCTTGACCTTTGACCCCTTGATCCCAAAATCAATAGGAGTAATCTGCTGGTCATGACAAATCACCATACCAAGTTTGAAGTTCCTAGGCCTAAGGGTTCTTTTGTTATTGATCAGAAACCGTTTTTAATTAAAAGGTCAATGTGACCTTGACCTTTGACCCCTTGACCCCAAAATCTATACGGGTCATCTACTGATCATGACCAATCACCATACCAAGTTTGAAGTTCCTAGGCCTTAAGGTTCTTTAGTTATTGATCGGAAACCGTTTTTACCTACAAGGTCAATGTGACCTTGACCTTTGACCCCTTGACCCCAAAATCAATAGGGGTCATCTACTGATCATGACCAATCACCATACCAAGTTTGATGTTCCTAAGCCTTAAGGTTCTTTAGGTATTGATCGGAAACCGTTTTTACCTACAAGGTCAATGTGACCTTGACCTTTGACCCCTTGACCCCAAAATCAATAGGGGTCATCTACTGATCATGACCAATCACCATACTAAGTTTGAAGTTCCTAGGCCTTAAGGTTCTTTAGTTATTGATCAGAAACCGTTTTTTGCTTACAAGGTCAATGTGACCTTGACCTTTGACCCCTTGACCCCAAAATCAATAGGGGTCATCTACTGATCATGACCAATCACCATACCAAGTTTGAAGTTCCTAGGCCTTAAGGTTCTTAAGTTATTGATCGGAAACCGTTTTTGCTTACAAGGTCAATGTGACCTTGACCTTTGACCCCTTGACCCCAAAATCAATAGGGGTCATCAACTGGTCATGACTAATCACCATACCAAGTTTGAAGTTCCTAGGCCTTAAGGTTCTTTAGTTATTGATCAGAAACTGTTTTTGCATTCAAGGTCAATGTGACCTTGACCTTTGACCCCTTGACTCCAAAATCAATAGGGGTCATCTACTGGTCATGACCAATCACCATACCAAGTTTGAAGTTCCTAGGCCTTAAGGTTCTTTAGTTATTGATCGGAAACCGTTTTTTGCTTTCAAGGTCAATGTGACCTTGACCTTTGACCCCTTGACCCCAAAATCAATAGGGGTCATCTACTGGTCATGACCAATCACCATACCAAGTTTGAAGTTCCTAGGCCTTAAGGTTCTTTAGTTATTGATCGGAAACCGTTTTTGCTTTCAAGGTCAATGTGACCTTGACCTTTGACCCCTTGACCCCAAAATCAATAGGGGTCATCTACTGGTCATGACCAATCACCATACTAAGTTTGAAGTTCCTAGGCCTTAAGGTTCTTTAGTTATTGATCGGAAACCGTTTTTGCATTCAAGGTCAATGTGACCTTGACCTTTGACCCTTTGACCCCAAAATCAATAGGGGTCATCAACTGGTCATGACCAATCACCATACCAAGTTTGAAGTTCCTAGGCCTTAAGGTTCTTTAGTTATTGATCGGAAACCGTTTTTGCTTTCAAGGTCAATGTGACCTTGACCTTTGACCCCTTGACCCCAAAATCAATAGGGGTCATCTACTGGTCATGACCAATCACCATACCAAGTTTGAAGTTCCTAGGCCTAAGGGTTCTTTAGTTATCACTCGGAAACCATTTGGTCTACGGACCGACGGACCGACAAGTGCAAAGCAATATACCCCCTTTTTTTCAAAATGGGGGCATAATTATTAAGGATATATCACATCATTCAATTCCTGCACAACTGCAACTATAACAGAATATTTAATTCTTATTCTTGCATAAAAATGGGAACAAAGGTATACATAAACAGAGAAAGAAAAACATACATAAATAGATAAGAGAATAGGATAAGATTCTCATGACCACATACCGTTGTTGCACAGTTTTCAATATGTTCGACTCCGGGTGCATTGTAAAAATTGTCACATGACATCACACTAGCACATGGAAAGCATGGCACAAGCAACGGTTTCTTAATACAAATAGGGAAACGCTGAAACACCGATGTAGACGTATATTTATATGCAAGAATAAGGCTACTGCACCTTTTTTCGTGCATTAACAGCTGCAGAAGCCCTCAGACATAATAAATCCACCGACCTGTGGGCTCAGACTTTAAATGCATCCTCTACAGATGTTAATGTTTGTAAAAAAGTGCATTAATCCCCTCTTATTGTACATTTCTTATTCCACATATAACTTCCTGAATCTTACATAGTACCTATTTTTTTTACTTTGAATGAACTAACTTTGTTAATAGCTCAGTTTAATATATATGAAAACATATTCAAATCACTAAAAAATGTTACACTGAAGAAAAATGTGGCTATTATAATCATATGTGTATAATAAATACTGTAATCAATAAAATTTTTGTCTGCTTTCATATCAAGGAACTATTTATACAATCATTATTATACAAAAATTAGAATTTAAAAGATACGCCATTGTTTCATAGACCACATATTACTATTCTATTAATGATCAATGTTTTTCAAAATAGATTTGCAATCTTGTATTGATTTCTTAACAAATAAAACTAAAACATCAAAACAAACATATATACACAACATTAATACTGCTACGAGATGAATGCGGATGCAATAATATTTCAACCATATTTAGACAAAAGCTTACATCTTTATAATCACATTCTCTGACTATGTCACCATAAACATGGACATACAAATTTCACTTTTGCAATATTACAACACTTGAATTATTTTTCAATAATTAACATAAGTTATATAATACAACGATTTGAAACTCTGATACACAATCACATGAAGTATAATACACTTTTCATTTAGTAACTGAAAATTGGTTTTAAACATATATCATTGTAAAACGTGATTAAAGGAACTCCACTGAGGTTCAAAAGTATAAAATTTGAATTTCTTACACTCAGCTGGGACACTAAAAACAGAAAACTATGCAAACGATAATTAAGAAATATAATAAGAAATACATTGAAAATCGTTTTGTTTTTTTTGCTATTCTCAGCCAGATTTGAGTGAAAAGCATTGCAACACTTTCCTTTTTTTAGTTATTTTTCACAAATAAAATAATTATTCTGGAAAAACAAAGAGAGGGAATGACCAGAAATTATTGCACACAAGTTATTTGTCTAGACCTACATCAAATGGAACATTAATCTTGAAAAAAAATATTTCCAGGCACATTATGTTCAACCATATTTAGACAAAAGCTTACATCTTTATAATCACATTCCCTGACTATGTCCTCATAAACATGGACTTACAAATTTCACATTTGCAATATTACAGCACTTGAATTATTTTTCAATAATTAACATTATTATTAAGGCTCATTATTAATTGAGCCTTTCTTTACATTGTTTTGATAAATGTGAGTATCACTATAAATATCTTTTAAATAAACAAAAAGATAAAGAACAATCACATAAAAATATTTTTATATCTTGTCTCTAGGAATTTTGATTGAATTTATAAGCTTTTGTTCTTTTTAATACAGTATACATATATTTCTAAATTTCATAGAAAATAAATTCTTTGATTTGTGCCGCTGTTTTCAATTATCATATGCAGGACTTCAAACAAATTTGTTCCTTTATATCGTCCTTCACCACCGGTGCTTCTTCTGTGTCATTTATGTCATTTATGCTTTTAATGTATATAATGTACATCAATGGAGTCCCTTTAACAGCTTATGGCACACTGTAGTAAATATATAGAATCTCATGCCTTGTATATATATCAGGAAGTCCAGTTTAGATTATATACATGAAGTCTATTTATCACCATATACATACATGTGCATATTTATTGACAAAGTTGTATCAACTTGTAAAAATTTGGATAAATTTCTCATCTTTAGATTCTAGTATTGTGGCGTATTATATTTTTGATGTTCTTATATTACTTATAAAAAGGCATCCAAATGACAAGACCAACATCATCCTGTCTACTGATGCAGAAAATAACAAAAAAAATCTCAAATTTGTCAACACCTATGACACATTTATATGACACAGTAAGTGTTGAGGTGTATTTTTCCTATATTTCTAATGTATGATAAATCAAGAATTCAGCCATTGAGCCTTTCTTTACATTGTATTGACAAATGCACATATCACTAAACATCTCTTTTAAATCAACAAATAGATAAAGAACAATCACATAAAAATATTTTTATATCTTGTCTCTAGACATTTTGATTGAATTTATAAGCTTTTGTTCTTTTCAATACAGTATACATGTATTTTTCAAATTTCTTAGAAAATAAATTCTTTGATTTATGTCGCTGTTTCAATTATCATAGGCAGGAATCAGAACAAAATTGTTCCTTAATACCCACCTTCGTCTGTGCTCCTTGTGTATCATTTATGTACCACATGTATAATGTTACTATAGCAACCACTAACAACACGGTCAATAAGATCACATGGGTAACTATTAAATATTTAACTGTCTTTTGTAGATGATTATTGCACTCAACTAGACTGTCAACCTGTAAAATTAAGTATTAAGACAAATATACTTTTGTTAAAAAATTTTAACTGTGCAATCTTAAAGAAGTACATCATTTAAAACATATGCATTATTTTTCAAATAAAGATTTGTAAAATCTCATACCCTAGTGACTGATTTATGTCATGTGGTTTTATCATACTGAAATATACAACTGTTTCATTAAACTTTTCAATCTAGCACCACCCCACCCTTCCCCTCTACCTTTCACTATATAGCTAACTAAGCAATCCTTTAATTAACTTTTGTTCTTATCTTTATTACATTAAAAATTTTACATCACAAGATCAACTTTGAGTACAGCCACATTTTACAAACTTTCAATGTAAGAAGTTCAGAACAAACTCTTCTTCTCCAAACTTCCTATTTTGCTAAAATACATGTACTTCAAGTTGCACAATGAAAATATTACAGTCAATCTGTATATAATATTATTTGTCAAACTGTGCTCTTTATTTCATGTGTCCACTGATTGGTAACAGAATCTCAAAAGTAACACATCACAATATTATTGACAAAAACTTCAGAGCTACTTCAAAGCTTTAAAGAATATCTTAACATACAAAAGCAACAACAGTTGTCTGTAAGACAGCCCACTCTACAATTCTCAGCGCTTCACAGTTTGACAAGGGGCATAACTTTGTAAATGGAAACTTAAAAGTTATAGTACTTGTGGGTACCATGTTGGATATTCACAGAGAACAGGTGTCTGAAGTTTTAATCCCTTGCCTTCAATAGTTTTTGAGATTATACCAACTTACATGTAAAACATAAACCCAAGAGTAATGGCGACACATACATCGCGGGGAGTACAATAGCTCTCCTTATTCTTTAAATAGTCAAGCTAAAAAACACACAAGCTCTGGCCAGTAAAATTTGACTTTAGAATGGCTGCTATATAAGAAACAAACCTTTTTAGATAGCTCAGTAACAGCTTGTTTGGTTGGTCCTCCTCTTGATTCAGCACCAAAGATACCCGTATCTTTACCAATAGTTGCTATACATCGCAATCTGTCAATCACAATATTAACACACATTTAAATTAGGGGACTGGAGGTTAACATTTTTACATTTTTTCCTGTAATAGTCAACTGTTACTCAGAAAATTTTTTATGTTTTAATCAAGTTGTAATTTTTTTATTTACCATGCCTTACTATTTCCATGTGCAGTATCTTAAAGAAACGATTACCAAAAACATGACATGGCATCTTACACTTTAATATTTACTGACATTCTTATTTTTCTTCTCTAAAATGCCATGATAAAGTTATAAATGACATACTTATTCAAGAGAATTACCTTCAACTTACCTATGTTCCATTATGGAATCTTTTTGAACAGATTTCCATAGTTCTGAAAATGATCTGTTTGATTCATTGGTCACTTCCATTGCCATAATAAGAAATTTGTCTTTTTGTACAGTGTTTTGGTATCCTGAAAGTTAATTAAAAATACTAGGTTCAATTCATATTATCATAAACAAGTTACAATTTATGAAAATGTTCAATCATTCTACTTTTCTGAGTCAAAGAAGAAGACAAAACAAATTTACAATGTATTAACTTGCCTCAACAGTATTCAGGTCTAACGATAAAAGTCAAACTTTTAAGTCATTACTTAGCCATCCAAATATCTCCCAAGATTCTGCCTATCTATCAATTATTTTCACAAACCTTATTAAAAAATGCATTAAAAAAACCCCAGGAGAATGTGACTTACCCTGCTGTAGATGAATGTACACTTCAATTTCTGTCCCTGACTTGATGAAGCCAGAACTTGGTCTCACTCGATATTTCTCTGGTGATGTGGTTTTTACCTAAATACAGAGCAAAAAGTGCATTTTTAAAGTCATCTAATTGAATCTGATAAATTATCCTTCGTATTTTATTTACTGGGTTTTGAAATATGCTGGTGCAACTTAATGAATGTAAAGAATACTGGACCTGCGTGTTGACTTTTTGCACTTTTCTTGACCAGGTTTGGAATTGAATCAGGCCAGTAGCATTTTATGGTTTTTCATTGTCAAATACTAAAATTAAGTTGACAACTGTATAAAGTCTGCCCAGACTGCACAGATGTAGACTGACTCGTCTATAAGGTTGGATTTTAAGTCATCCAAATATGGTCAATATCATATGACAACTTTTTCAACTATACTAGTGAACTAAGACCTCAAGCGCCTCTCTGAGCATTATTTCATGCACAATCTATCACTGAGTAGAACCACAGCCTTTCTGTAAGCTGGTTGGAAAGCAGCCTCATATGAAAGAATCAAAAGTCCTTACTTAACTTATTGTTTGTTTGTTTGGGTTTTACGTCACATCGACACAGTATAGGTCATAAATTACTTTTATGCACAGTGGGTGGTGTAAAGAGGTCTTTATGTTTTAGAAATATTACCTTGTAAGCTATGGAATAAGGCAGAGTATTTTTGAGTGTAATTATATCACAGGGTTCCTTCACTCCTTCCTCTATCAAAAACTCAAGCTCTTCTGCAGGACTGAAAAACACAGAAAAATAATAACTGATGAAATTATATCCCTTTCAAAAGTCAAAATATTGTTGATTTTGTTGATATTGTTGTTATCAATCTCATCTATCTCACTTGTTCTGTATAACAAATATTATCTAGTCACAGACATTAAAGTGTATAAAGCTATACATTCACTGTTTGTGATTGTAATATTATTGTATAAGTTTTGATAAAAATTACATTATCCTAGAATGAAAGAAATTTATCAGAATATTTTATTGAAATTAAGTGGGCCATCCATGAAATAATTGCCAAAACTGTGGAATATTTTGTTCCAGAACATCTAACTCTTACATACAATATTTATGTATAGTAAATTACATAGACAATCTATGAAGCAAATCTTTTACGAAACAGCCATATGAGTATGAATACAATATAATTTTACTGTTTTTAAATTTTCATAAAATATTAATTAGATATAGCTTTATACACTTCAACATATCATTACTACATTGTACTACATATGAAAATTAAGACTGGACTCTCATCAAATTTCAGTACCTTAATACATCAGATTTCTTAGTCACTCCTATGAACAATGAATTGCTTAAGACAAATAAACAATACCTGTCTCATTATAAACTTAAACACAGTTTTGATGACAAAATTATATGACCATATACCTTATCTTAAAGTTCATAATCAACTTGAAAACTGAAGGAACAAAAAACTGATATTTCTATATAGATTATTCTGTAAAATTTTAGTATATTAACCTGATGGTAAGAAGCCTGCCTATGTAAGAGTTGTCTTCCCTATTTCCTTGCCTTTTATGCTTAGATGGTGGACCAAGTCTCTGACGTAGTATACTATTTGACGCATTTGTATTACTGTTGTTGTTACCATTCTGAAATATTATATAACAAGCTATATATCCATGTTTCTTGAAATTAATAATATACAGACATGACATGATAATATGAAAAACATAATAATGTCACAAACACTTAATATAATACCACATATAATTATTATCTTATGTAATATTTACTATTATAAATAAACAAAATAAAGGTTAGATTCAGATGAGCAAAATATGAGATTTAAGAATTTTCCATAGCCTAAAACAAGTATTTTCAAATTAATAGGGTGAACCTTGTAACAGAAAGAGCTAGTTATATTAAAAGGCCTTTGTCACCCAGTTCATTCATAAGATTTAAAGGTATATAGACATAAACCTTACACCAGCTTCTTATTATTCATTAAATTACCTCACTTTGCTCACTTAAAAAATATTATAAAATAGAGAGTTAAAACTATTTTTCAGGTTTTCTGTTACAACATTTATCTACAGCATCCTCCTAATCAGCACCTTAAGTTCAAATACATGTTTATTGTAGTTATATTATCAATGTAAAACTGCAAGGCTTAAATTCAATAAAGACTCAATCACTATATGATATGTTATTAAGGGGAGCGGAGGCCTAGTGGTTAAGGTGTCTGCCTCCTAACCCAGAGATCATGGGTTCGAGCCCTGATCGGGTCACAACCATGTTTCTTCAAATGACACCAGTACTGGTTGGTTCCCAGAAGTGGACTCAAAAGTGATTACTGTAAGTTTTAATGACTTGTATTGCAATCATGCTTAAACAAATATGTACTTTGAATTTCATAATAATCCATTTGTTGTTTATGGAATGACAGAAGCAAAATATGAAAACCGAGTTGCTAACCAGCATAGTACAGTGTCTTGAAAGGCTGGCCTTGCTCTAATGTATGCCATAGGTCAGTTATTTTAACCAAAAGCCCTTGAACAGTACAATGTAAGATGCTATCTGTTACTAATAAAAGATAGGATATACTGTTTAACATACCAGTTTCTCTGTACTGAGGCTATCACTACTTAAGCTTCTGTATACTTTATTATCTTCTTCAGCAAATGTCACCTGAATATGTAAAATGGAAATTTACCTTTCCTTTTCTTTGTCAGACAAAACATGTTATAGACACTAACAATGTTCACGACCCAATGTTCAGGAAAGGTAACATTTGTTTACCTATTATGTGTAAATAATTTTTTCTTGTCAGTCAAAATAAAGCAAGGCGAAAATTTTACTATCTCATTAACGTTTTGCTATTTAAACATTTGCTCAGAAAACAAGAAACATGATATGGTATAATCTATCAATTCTTTGTAAAACAAGATATGTTTGTAAAACATGTATGCCCCCTATCAGCAGCCAATAAGTCATGTGATAACGTTATTATGCATGACTTCTGACCCAGTGGTCAAACAATTAATAAGGGTTATCAAGTATCTACTGGTCATGACCTTAACCTTTCACCCCTTGACCCAAAACTCAATAGGGGTCATCTGCTGGTCACGACCAATCATCATACAAAGTTTGAAGTTCCTAGGCCTAAGCGTTTTTAGTTAATTGATCGGAATTTGTTTTTACCTTCAAGTTCAATGTGACCTTGACCTTTGAACCCTTGACCCCAAAATCAATAGGTCATCTGCTGGTCATGACCAATCACCATACCAAGTTTGAAGTTCCTAGGCCTAAGGGTTCTTTAGTTATTGATCGGAAACTGTTTTAACATACAAGGTCAATGTGAACTTGACCTTTGACCCCAAAATCAATAGGGGTCATCTGCTGGTCATGACCAATCACCATGCCAAGTTTGAAGTTCCTAGGCCGAAGCGTTCTTTAGTTATTGATCAGAAACCGTTTTCACTTACAATGTCAAAGTGACCTAGACCTTTGACCCCTTGATCCCAAAATCAATAGGGGTTATTTGCTGGTCATGACAATTCACCATACCAAGTTTGAAGTTCCTAAGCCTAAGCGTTCTTAAGTTATTGATCAGAAACCGTTTTTACTTACAAGGACAATGTGACCTTGACCTTTGACCCCTTGACCCAAAACTCAATAGGGGTCATCTGCTGGTCACGACCAATCACCATACAAAGTTTGAAGTTCCTAGGCCTAAGCGTTTTTAGTTAATTGATAGGAAACCGTTTTTACCTACAAGGTCAATGTGACCTTGACCTTTGACCCCTTGACCCCAAAATCAATAGGTCATCTGCTGGTCATGAGTAATCACCATACCAAATTTGAAGTTCCTAGGCCTAAGGGTTCTTAAGTTATTGATTTGAAAGCATTTTTACCTACAAGGTCAATGTGACCTTGCCCTTTGACCCCTAAACCCCAATATCAATAGGGGTCATCTGCTGGTCATGACCAATCACCATACCAAGTTTGAAGTTCCTAGGCCTAAGGGTTCTTTCGTTATTGATCGGAAACCGTATTTACCTACAAGGTCAATGTGACCTTGACCTTTGACCCCTTGACCCCAAAATCAATAGGGGTCATCTTCTGATCATGACAAATCACCATACCAAGTTTGAAGTTCCTAGGCCTTGAAGTTCTTTAGCTATTGATCGGAAACCGTTTTTGATTACAAGGTCAATGTGACCTTGACCTTTGACCCCTTGACCCTAAAATCAATAGGGGTCATCTTCTGATCATGACCAATCACCATACCAAGTTTGAAGTTCCTAGGCCTTAAAGTTCTTTAGTTATTGATCGGAAACTGTTTTTGCTTACAAGGTCAATGTGACCTTGACCTTTGACCCCTTGACCCCAAAATCAATAGAGGTCATCTACTGATCATGACCAATCACCATACCAAGTTTGAAGTTCCTAGGCCTTAAAGTTCTTTAGTTATTGATCGGAAACCATTTTTGCTTACAAGGTCAATGTGACCTTGACCTTTGACCCCTTGACCCCAAAATCAATAGGGGTCATCTACTGGTCATGACCAATCACCATACCAAGTTTGAAGTTCCTAGGCCTTAAGGTTCTTTAGTTATTGATCGGAAACCATTTTTGCTTACAAGGTCAATGTGACCTTGACCTTTGACCCCTTGACCCCAAAATCAATAGGGGTCATCTACTGGTCATGACCAATCACCATACCAAGTTTGAAGTTCCTAGGCCTAAGGGTTCTTTAGTTATCACTCGGAAACCATTTGGTCTACGGACCGACGGACCGACGGACCAACGGACCGACGGACCGACAAGTGCAAAGCAATATACCCCCTTTTCTTCGAAATGGGGGCATAAAAAGATCAAGACAAGTAAAAAGGATCGCTGGATGTTAAAATTCTAATTATTTTATATGGTATAAAACAAAACGATTTTGATCTTTCTCAGTTATGTTGTTGTAGTATAGATGTGAATTTTAACATGGGTGTCAAGTAGATTATTGAATTATCATCATTTTCTTATTAAACTGCTTCCAACTGGATATCTGATTCTATATTATCCTTTAATTATTTTGATCTTTCATTCCTTTTCCTAATTGCTCTAAATCTACCTGACTTTGTATGAACATGTTTGTCAGTAGTAAATTTAACTCTTAGCCTATTTCTACCCATGTGACCAGTGCAGACCAAGATCAACAGGCACATTCTTGCCATCTAATCATGGTCTGTACTTGTCACTATTCAGTCAGTACCAAGTTTAAAATATCCCTAAAACTAAGACTGGTTTTGTCCAAAATAAAACATTTTCAAGTTCTTTAACATGTTTAAGGTTGGTAAGGGTTAAATGAGTCTTGGTAAGCAAGAATTAAGCTTTAAACGGTAAACTTTAAGGGTAATAAAAGTTTGTGATCTGTGTTTCTTGCTATCGACTTCAACAGCAGATGCATACACCAGCTTCCATTATCTAAAATGATCAGTTACATTAAGTCTCGGACAAATGCATGATTGCAAAAATTACAATTCCATGTATATACTGTAGTGTGAGGTCTATGATGTAATGTAATGTATATTGTTCAAGTTGTACCTAAATACATTTCATGTGTGGCAGGTCTTTGTGCTGAAATTGTGCAAGCCAAACATTATACACATATTAGGTTTTGATAATATCATTAGTTTCAGACACAGTCCACAAACTAAAATAATATGATACATTTTATAGTGTCTCTTTACAGGTATAAAGTTTCTGTTAAAGTTGTGTATAAAATTTTTTTTAATGTTATAGTTGTGTTAAAAAAAACATTTAAGACAGTTTCTGAACTTTATAATATAACAAACAAAACAGTATTCTGCAAAAAACTGGTTCTATTTCAACTTGTAAATAAAGTTTCAATTCATCTATTGTCAAGAAATACACAACTAGGATAATTGGGAAAAAGTGCCATTAAACTAAGATATGGTGGAGTTTGTGCATGTTCTTTTTTTTTTCTTCAACATCAACTTTAACATCAAATAATAAAAACATTCAAAGAAAGGTGACTGTATTGTCTTAATAAAAGTCCTTATAAAGTAAAAAAATAGAATTCAAGGCTTGATAGATGTGGGGTAGTGCAGTATTAACCATTTTACATCAAAATAGCTATTGTAAGGGTATTTTAGCTATATCGGTAACTTTTAATTGTCCAAAGTATCTGTACAAATTTTAATGGATACATTTTCTATGTTTAAAGCAATTCATAAACTATCTTTTAATATACCACTTTTGATAAAACCCTAAACAAGTTCACGCAGCTACAACAAAATGTCAAATCGACTATGTTTTTTAATACAATAAATAAACAACTGAATCTCACATATTAGATCACACAATACGACTTCAGAGAAAAATAGCTGCTGTATTAAAAAAAATTGTGCAGATAGGTTAACAAATAAATGTAAACAGCAGTTAGAAGTTTAACAGCATGAGAATACAGTCAAGAAACATGTGGATATACCAACAAAACTTACCCCTTTACTACTACTGGACTGAAATGAAGGAACCAGCTCATTACACCTTGCTTAAGTCTTTACCTAAATTTGATTAACAAACTTACCCTGCTTTTAAAAAGATTTTAATATTCATACAATTTTAGTCTACTCAGGCACTACACTGGTGGTACAGGACCACCAAAGTTCGGAAAATTAAATGTATCATGAAAAATTAAACATCTTTCAACACTTTACAAGCTTGAGCAACATGCAATCTTTACAATATGCAATATTCACAGCAGAAATTATTAGAATCAATGATAATGAAGGACCAGAAAAACATCATACTTTGATGAAGGGTACTTCAAATGTTTTTTATGGCACTAACTGCTTTTATGAGCAAATCATTATGAAACACTACAGATATATCACTTGAGATAACAAAATATAATACTGGAATCTACAGCTATAAATTACTGGTAAAATGTCTTACCTTCTTTTTACCAGGAGTTTCACTATCAGGTTCATCTAACTCATCACCACCACCACCAACATCAAAACAGGGAGGTTCATACTTATACACAAATGGGTCCTGAAATTATAACAGGTTATGGACAATCCATAAAAAATAATCGAATATAGATAACAATGCTAAAATTTCAAACATTCAAATAATGGTTTTAGTCCTTGGGATTTAAAACAAATATAATTTTTTCAGATTGGGTTGTAAGTCACACCACTGACACTACATTTTTTCTATCTCTACTGCAGATGTCCCTCCAGCTGGAGTAGGGCTCCACAGTAAAAACCCAATGTGAACATCATATATAATTAATATATAGAAAACATTTCATTAACATATAGAGAACGTTTTATTGAAGGCCAAGATAACATTTTACACTTTCAACAAGGACAAGAGATGGTAAATTACCAATTCAAATAAAAAGCAGAATTTTTCAATAAATATCAAAGTCAAAACAAATCTGATGAAAATTTAAACGTATGACCTTGATGAAAAAGATCATTTAGAGTATGTTTGAAAACAAATGTCTTTTTACCCTTTTCCTACCCTTTGATCTTCTTCACTAAATGTTACAACTAAATATACAAGGGTTTAATAATAAAAATGTACCAATCAAATTTGATACATGTGCAAAACAATTAAGTAATGCATGAATTATTCCAGTACATTGTCAATCAATACTACTGCACTATTTTTCAAATAAAAATGTACATATACCACTCAATTCCTAGTGAATTATTTATTTTCAAAATCATTATTACATTAGATATCTCCATTAATTATAAGTACTGTTTAGTCAATTAAAACTTAATTAATTTAGTTTTACATATGTATTTAGCCAATCAAAATGCTGAACTTACTGTTCCGCCCATATGACCTAGTAACTGATCCTTGTTGATGTATTCCTGTACATTTGTCTTTGTAACAAACTTGATTCTCTTTACAGACTCAGCATTTAGCATCTGCTTTATAAGCTTCCATGCAGCTGTCAAATATAGACTATAATACTGTATAAATGGTTAAGTTAGCAATGCGGAAATATTGGATAATTTCGCGAATTGAAGAGAATTGCTAAAATTTCCTCTAGCATAAATATCAACTAACATGTTTTCAATTTTCATGCTACTCTGAAATAGGCAATTTGCTAATATTTCCTCAAGGGAAAAGTCTGGAATTTTATATTCAACTTTTCCACACATGATCTTTTTGTAAAAGGAAATGTATATTGAATGTAAATGACTCCTGCTATAGAAGGAAATAAAGCCCTGCAAGATTCAATCAACAAGGTATTTGTTGTTTTTTACTAATTTTTTATTTAGTTCGGACTCAAAGTCACATAAACCCTGTTTATGTTATACAGCAACAATTCCAGAATTACACATGAAGGAAAACTCCAACTATCAATCTTTGCATTATTTTATACACTGGCTGGAAAGTGGACAGAAACACTGGCCTGCAGTAGGTTATTAACAAAAACAGCAGTTACATAGAAATTAATACTAGTAAAATGGCTTACCACTAAATAACCAAGGCATCTCATACACCAGCATATATTCTGTAAATGAACAAGAAATGTTTGAAAATATGAAAATCCTAGTCAATCTAGTCATGTAGGCTCGGTGTTTGTGTTTTTGTGTTTGCCTATTTCTGTTTCGACCATTAATTATGAAAAACATGAATAACAGTAAGAGCTGTCAGTGGGACAGTGTGCTCAATTATTCTAAATGCTTGATAGCAAAACAAGGACCTGAATAATGTACAATTTTCCAAGTTCAAAAAGGACCATAGGCATAACTGTTCTGTCATTTTCTATGTTACAAATATGGGCAATACACAGTAAACTCCTTTTAACATTTTTAAATCCAATTCCCTTCAGTAGTTTTGGAGATACCAATTTGCACACAAACACTTAACCAAATCGTAAGGCCAACTTCTTAGTGAGTACAATAGTTCTTCCAATTCTTCGAATAGTCAAGCTAAAAATTGTTTACATTGTATGTAATATGAGTTACCTAGAAGCTTTGGGTAATATAACTTGAAACTGTTGATAATGTGTTTCACAAACTCCATATCCTGTAAATACAAACATTGTCATACATAATTCTTAACTTCCTTCTATTTGAACTGAAAACAATTTATGAGAGAAAATATTGACACTCATGGCAAGTAAAGAATGCATTGCTAATTTTCTTTTAATTTATATTCTGTTTTCTTAATTGCATATACAGTTGTGTTAATATTATGTCTACAGTGCACTAACTAAGTGTACAAACTTTTGCTGGAATGTCACAATATCTTTGTATTAAACATGCACATGTATTTTTCATAAATAGTTGATTTTTCTTTAAAATCTAATGTGAAAGCAGTTGTCTCAAAAAATACATTACCAAATAAACAACCTGCTTAACAATCTGGATGGAAGTTTTGAAATGCAAAAAAAACATGACTGCATTTGATATAGCTGAACCTGTCTAATGCTGTCATTTGATATGACAGCATGTATTTCACTTACTATCTGAGCCATACCAGCACCGTCTAGATCAAAGAGTAGAACAATGCTTGATTCAGGGTCTTTAAGATACTGTTTCTCCAAATGATAGGCAAACCATTTCTTTATTGTAGGTAATAACTGTGGATCTTTTACATGCTGTTTCACTTGTATATATACTGAAATAAAATAGTTATGTTTAATTTAATTTAATTTTTATTTTAGTGTTAGTATTGCTAATGAAATATATTGTGTAGTATGGTAGAAATCCATTATGACTTTGCTGTGGATTTTGCTGGTCGAGTGCATCAAGGTGCACCTACCTGTCATGTTTAAAGGTTGTGAATGGAAGGATTTGTTTTATGGCCATATGCGTTTCATTTTTTGGGTCAAACTTTTAGTTTTATGATAAACAAACAGACAGACAGAAACAATAAACCTTCTAGATCTCAGGGTTTTCACTGGCTATTATCTTTTTTGTCTCTTGGGTGGGTGTTGTAGGGAGTTCCCTCCCAGTTATCCAAATTTTTTAATTTCTCACTTTATAAGACACAATTAATCATGGAACTTCAACTCTTATGAACATTGGTGTTAGCCATTTTAAACAGAAATCTAACATTTTGTCTTTTATTTTCTGAATCTTCATATGTTTATTAACAATGGATAACAATAAATTTATATAAAATTAAAATAAGGAGGTGTTTAAACACAATATATATGTGGTCAAACTTCTTTAGCAAATTATCTTGGTAAATCCTCATCAAAACATAAATGAAACAACATATTTATTATCATACACACTGCTTAACTCTCTAAAGTGGAAACCTCAAGATCTACCCATGCTGGTGCATAACAAGTGCTGTACGTAGGACAGCGTGCTCGACTATTCTCAGTGCTAGATAGTAATGGGGCATAACATTGTAAAATAAGCTTGATACAGTGACCTGCTCCTGTATACAGGTTGGGGTCATGATGGTGAATAAGTGTGCAAAGTTTCAATGGACTTTGGAAATATATGAGGTGGGATGCTAACTTTAACATAAGTGGTTACACCAACACTCTGTGGACTAGTATAGCTCATCTAATTCTTCAAATAGTCAAGCTGAAAACCTGTATAAACCCTCCATTACACTGAAATAACTTTTCCATAAATTAATCACTATAAACAACTTACATATTGGGATTCCATCTTTGTCATGGTTATGATAATACATTGCACCTGTTTCCCACATTTCTTGAGGAAAATTGTCTTCTTTGAGATCTATTGACAAAAAAAATATGATTATAGTTGTTTTTTCCTACTAATATTCAAATAAAAATTCTTAATAAGCTTCAATACAATATGGTTACATAATTGGTAAAGCCCATTTAACCATGTAAAGATTTTGTTTCAAACTTATCTTAAAAAGTAAGCTTTAGTAAACAGAACAGATAACAAGAAATATGCAAAAGTTCAAAACTTTAACAAAGAAATCAAAAACAGCGACTCTGACGGAATGAAAATTTCTCTGATACAAAAGAGCAAATTTATGTTAAGAAGCATTGCCTGTGAAACTCTGCAAATCTCTGATTGAAAAACAAGTGACTCCCAAATAAAAAAGATTGATTCTGAATGCTTCAGATTTAATTAAACATACTACCAGGGGGGGGTGATCATGGGGCCCTTTTTTTACTGGGTTTCCTAAGGGCCCCTCCCCTTTTTGCTTAAAATACTTTTTAAAATTTTTTTTGGGGGGGAAAGGGGCAAAATCAAAACCTGACTTGACTGTATCTTATGTTCCTTAGAAGACATGACACGTAAAGTAAATAACCCTACAGAAATAGTATAAAACAACAAACCATTGACGCCATATTCGAGACGAAACTTGAGTGACTCGTGGAGATGATTGGCTGCCTCTTGTAGTGTTTCATATGTTCTGATAAAAGAGGCAACATATGCATCATCTTCATTGAATTTCTTTACGTCTCTGTCATCATAATGCCCAGCTTCTATATCTCCTACACACATTATTTAAAGAAAATTAATTATGCATTTTCAAACATATCAGTGGAAATTATCCTCATCATCAAGTTACCCGCTTTTGAGAACGTAAAAGATAATTTAAATTTAAGATCAAATAAATAAAAACAAGAGCTGTCATTTAGACAGTAAAACTATCTTCAGTGCATGTTAGTCAAACAAAAGTCGGGATACTGTAAGAATTGAGGAAGAGGTAGATATCATTCACAAACATACAGTTCATGACAAATTTAAAACAGAAAGAACAACCTTAACTTCAAAAATGTTGAAAATAGTTATGAATAAGAAAAAACGCCTGGACATATGCTGTCTCCATCTTACAACACGTAGGACATTTAGAAATTATATACTCACAGTTTACCCTATTGCGCTATAATGGTCAGTATAACTTATGCATAGAAACCAGATGAATTAAATCATATCTTACTGCTTAAATCTCACGGAATTTACCGAACATTTATCGAATATTAATATATTCTGTGCATTGACCGTATAATCAGTATGGAACTGACAGGTTAATAAAATCAAACAATAATCATCAAGTATATAATAGGTAAAAACAACAACCCTGAATTGATATTAACAAAAATGGCCCACAAGACTGAACATTTTGATGATAGGTTGAATACCACCATTTCATTCAAATCTATTTAACGGTACAAATACTTGCATTTACCTATTATTTAAGGTGTCAAAGAAACACTTTGTTTATATATTAAAAATTTTATACTTGTTATTAAATCATAAGAGCTTTCCACATCATAGGTAGCACCCAATTTCATATTACAGAACTTCAACGACTGTTGTACATAATGGTAAACAAATTAATACAAAATTAGGCAAAGGTTATCAACAGAGAAGTCTGTCAAAAAATCATTCATTTTTTTCCGTTTTAAAGATGCCATTCGATATTTCTTGCCCCGCTTCCGTTTTCAGGCGGAACACTCAACGATTATTAATCCGAAAAGTTGTGATTGTTCAGTTATCAGAATACACTGCCTATTGTCACTGCGATACATTGAACTGGCAGCACCAAACTAGAACTGACACTGAAAATTTCAATGATAGGTATAGAATTCTATATATTCTTTCATTGTTTTTTATTTGATTTCATTTTAATATACACATGTAGTCTATAGCTGGACAAGTGAAAGCCCGGGTCCCAGTCTTTGACTTCCCCATATAAATTATTCGTCAAAACGTTGCAAGGATATTATTGTCTAATAAACTGATAAATTAATTCAAAATTATTATCAACACAAATTTAATTTGATTTGCATTTATTTTTGAGGTTTATTCATAAATGTTACTGGACTTTCATAACTGCACTCTAAATGTTTTCAACTTATTGATAACAAATTTTATTGTTAAACTGTCAGTGACACTTGTTACGTTATAAAGTGAAACCTCACGTGATACAATAACAATAGCAAGATAAACATGAACAAGGAAAAGAAACATTTTTTATACCTGAATGCTTAGAAAGAAACAAATCTCGAAGTTTCTTTGACTTTTCTTCGACAGTCTGAAAATAATAAAAAATGAAACATAAACAAAATATTTAAATAGAAGGCACAATTATGACATGAAGACTAAAATAAGCTATATAATGACCTCATCCTTGCCTCCCTCAGCCATGTTGTTTGGCGTCTGCTCTTACTTCCGTGTTTCGTGAGAATAGAAAGAGCGTTTAAATCACTTACAGCGGCATTTCACAGAAAAAGACACTAAAAGAGGTACAGGTTTGAATTTATGAAATTGCGAATCTAGTTGCACATTGTTACTTGGTGGTTATAATATTTCTGATTCATAATTATTTCTGGAAATAACAGACATGTATATTGTAATGTATTTTCGCGATTGTCAAATTATGTGGTCGACATTCAACTGTATTAATTTTTCCATAGTCTTGCATTATAAGAAATGAAATTACCACCGAACCAACATAAAGATTTAGTATTCATGCCAAAGATGTGATTTTTCTTCAAGAATTACAAAATTTACACTAGTCCAATATAACACAGGGACCCAGCACAGTGTTGGGATAGTGTAAAAAGTATATACTCAACATCACTAATTCCGCGTCATCACTTACCTCGCGGTAATGGCATATTTTCATGTGGCCAGTGTTAAAATTGGTCAGAATTGACATATTTTATTCAAACACCTTAACAACAAAGTTTTTGTGCAAAATAATTTAAATCTATAGATTTTTACGTAAAACTGAGCAACATTTTACAAACTTCTGCAAAAAACAACAATAGTCCATTAAATTTCTGCATACGTCTGAAACAATCATCATTTTCTAAATGTTCTTGTTTGTTAAAAAAATAAATTTTGAGTTACAATGTAAAGATTATTTTAAAATTTAAAATTATGCAAAATAACATAAAGAAATTATAACTGAAACATGAAAAAACTGAAATAAAACACCATTACCGCGAGTTAAATGATGACATACTATTTTCAAAATGGCCTACACACGGTCTACATCTGACAAATTAAAACTAATTTAGATTGAATATATTGTTGTTTCCTTGTGTCATATAGCAGAAAAATGACTAAATGATACAGTTTATGACAATTTTTGTAGTGTGAGTTTATTGTTTGCGTTTTTTACTGTTTTAAAGTGTTAAGTACCGTGACCTAAGAGGAGCACAGTATAATTCTAGAAAAAAGTATAGCCCGGGGTTCTATGATATCACGGTACTTAATGTTTATTAACCAGGTTTTCAACAAAAACCGGGTTATTGTAATGCCGAAGTCGGTGGGCAGACAGGTGGGCAGGCGTCAACTTTTGGTTTCTGCTCAATAACTTTAGTTTGCTTTGGCATATTGACACCACACTTGGTGTGTAGGTAGCTTTTATCAAGAGGCAGCTTGGGATTGCTACCCAGGTGTCTGTGATCAAGGTCAAGGTCACAGTTGCTAAAAATAAAAATTCAGTTTACACTCAATAACTTGAGTTTGCTTTGGCCTATTGACACCAAACTTGGTGTATGGATAGCTTATATCAAGAGGCAGCTTGGGATTGCTACCCAGGTGTCTGTAATCAAGGTCAAGGTCACTGTTACTAAAATAGAAATTCAGTTTCCGCTCAATAACTTGAGTTTGCTTTGGCCTATTGACACCAAACTTGGTGTATGGATACATGTAGCTTATATCAAGAGGCAGCTTGGGATTGCTACCCAGGTGTCTGTGATCAAGGTCAATGTCACTGTTACTAAAGATAGAAATTCAGTTTCCGCTCAATAACTTGAGTTTGCTTTGGCCTATTGACAGCAAACTTAGTGTATGGATAGCTTATATATAGAGGCAGCTTGGGATTGCTACCCAGGTGTTTGTGATCAAGGTCAAGGTCACTGTTACTAAAAATAGAAATTCAGTTTCCGCCCAATAACTTGAGTTTGCCAGGCTTCGCGAAAGTTGCCGGACCGTCGGACATGTCTGGCAAAAATCAGACCGGTCCGATATTGTTTTTCCAAGTTCCGGACCTTATATCCGGTACGAATACCGGGATATATCCAAGACCGATCAAGACCGAGTTTTCTCCCTTGAATAAAAAAATGTAAAACTAGTTTTGATTCGCCGTTTCATTATAAGTGTCCAATCAAAATCTAGATACATACGATTTTCAATGACCTTGTACTCGGAAGAAAATGTTGGTGTTACTGGGGGGGGGGGGCAAAAAAAGCCGTTCTGGGGGGGGGGGGCCAAAAAAGCCGTTGAATCACGCTTATATAAGGGAAAAGGTTAAGAGAATAAAATTGTGTTGCAAATCTTTAAAAGTTGCTATGTCTTTAAAAAAAACACAAAGGTATTACCATATACATATATTTGGAAAAAAATTCGGTCAGACAAATATTCTTTCGGTCAGACAAGACTTGAAAAATTGTCTGACCGATTGTCAGGCAAATTTTTCAGCAGTTTCGCGAAGCCTGGTTTGCTTTGGCTTATTGACACCAAACCTGGTGTATGGATAGCTTATATCAAGAGGCAGCTTGGGATTGCTATCCAAGTGTCTATGATCAAGGTCACTGTTACTACAAATAGAAATTCAATTTCCGCTCAATAACTTGAGTTTGCTTTGGCCTATTGACACCAAGATAGCTGATATCAAGAGGCAGCTTGGGATTGCTACCAAGGTGTCTGTGATCAAGGTCAAGGTCACTGTTACTAAAAATAGAAATTCAGTTTCTGCTCAATAACTTGAGTTTGCTTTGGCCTATTGACACCAAACTTCATGAATGGGTAGCTTATATCAAGAGGCAGCTTGGGATTGCTACCCAGGTGTCTGTGATCAAGGTTAATGTATTTAGTTTTCACGATCTAACTTGAGTTTGCTTTGACCTTTTGACACCAAACTTGCTGAGTGGCAGCTTTGGATTGCCAATTAGATATCTGGGAGTAAGGTCAAGGTCATTTGCTTACAATAGAATTTTCAGCTTCTACTCAATAACTTCAGTGCACTTTGACCTATTGATTGCTGTCACATCAAAACTTGGTTGTTGAAAACCTGGTTTTCGTCGCATTGCGGCGCTTCTTGTTGGAAAATATTCAAATATAAATATCATACATGAATAAGATTTTCCTTCTTTTTAATCAGTGAACCATTTCCAAAACTGCTTGTCAAAAAATTATTTCAAAAGATCCAATTAAAATGACATTTTTAAAACTATTTCCAATGTCTGCCATTTTGGGTAATTTCAGAGGAGGTTACTATGGTATCACGGTAGTCCCCAAAAATGCAAGTATCGAAGGATAGATGGGTCAAAATCTTCAAGTTATGTTGTGAAAACTTCCAACAGTTAACTTGCTATAAAATTCAAACTGTATGAACAGATGATATGTCAGTACTATATGTGATTATAACATATTTATATTGACTGTGTAAAATCATTTAAGGAAAATAGAAGTAAAATATGACAATTTAATAAAATATTTTTCTTGTCACAAATACATTCATTATTTACAAAATTGAATTTATTGGCAGATGAAAATGAGTTGAATTTGCCAGTTTTAAAAATATTAGCATCATTGTGTGTTGCTTTTATTAGCAGTCACAGAAAATATAAATACCGTGATATCATAGAACCCATGATATCATAGGAACCGAGTATATACTATATATTTAATATATAGACAAGGGGTTTAACTCACCAAATCGGCCAAATGCCAATATCCAGTATAAGTCAAAATTGCAGTCATTTTTATGTAAATCATATAAAGCTATATATCAAATTGCAGCTAAATGACATCACTAGATGTTGACAATAACATTACTGTCCCGACTTAAACCGTTTTTGAACAACAAACTGATATTTTGGATAGAATATCGTATTTTTGCTAGGTCGGACATGACCGTGTAACCTGTCCCCACTCGATTTTCTAGGTGTAAAAACGCAATTCCAAACCATGTCATTGTACCAGCCAACGTCATGCTAAATGTATATTATAGTGATTGCTCATTGACCCTCAGGAATTTAACTAGAGGGTACAATTTTGTTAAAATCATGGGAATTTGGCCTTGTAGTCTGTAAAACTTAGTCAAAATGACCTTCAGGATTTTCATGGCTAGTGAACACCCTGCAAAAGTTTATCAGATTTTCTTTCAACAAAAAAACTAAAACAATGTAGTTATCAATTTTAAATCAAATACAAAAATCAGTCTATAGTTGGCTAATCAACATAATCGTTAAGTGAAGCTTTTTATAGATTGATCCAAAATTTTTGAACGATGCATGGGCACATATTTCGGTCAAAAATATTTCAACGCTTGCATTTAAATTAGCCAATCAGATTTTGCGCGCTGTGTGATGGCCATTTGTTTATCTGCTGTGTAAGGAATTTAATTAAATAAAACAATTCAATCATGATTTTTAGCATGTGACAGTTTAATTAATTTGTTAAAAGGTATTTATATTTTACTTTTATTCATGAATAGGTCAAAAATAATGTATTTATACGCTGGCTTTTTTTCCATTCTACAAGATTTTCTTGCAATTGGTAATTGTGGTGGAAGAAATTTATAAAAACTATTTTTCTTCTGCTTACAGAGTGCAGGGATGTCGTCTGCTGCAGTTGTCCAGAAACTGGTTCAGAGAGCAAAACAGGCAGAGGAAATCATTGCTCAACTTAAAGCGCAAATAGAAAATGTTAAACAAGTTGCTGGTATGAAATACTAATCCTTCTACGTATACAAGCCTTTTTGTGCCCATTTAAGGAACAGTTGTTTGAAAAGGGAAATATTTAAGGCACAAAATTTAACGAAATTAATATTATAATGGTTAAAGTTTTACATGAAATCTATGATTTTACATTATATCAGCATTTTTATCTCAGTTAATTGGAAAGAGGCCTTAGCCTCTGGATTTTGGGAAGATTTTTTCACTAAAATTGCTTATTTGGGAAGTTAAAAAGCTGGTGTAAGTTAAAAAAAAATTGAAAATTTCATGATTTCAAAGAAAATTTCCATAGGGGAAGAGGCATTTTATAGGCCTCTGTTATATAAAGTGAAATATCACTGTATGTATATGTTCCTTATTTGTTTAGTGTTACTTTAACTTTGGCCCGATTATTTAATAAGTTAATAACTTACTATAAAACAAGAAAAGTAAATGTTTAAAAAAAGCCCATAAAGGTGTAAGAATAATAATCAGGCACACATTGTTATAAATAGTGGACCAGTTAACTAGTATTGTGTAATCTATTGCATTACATTGATTTGTTATGAAAAAAACAATATAAAACAAAGTTACTCTTTGTTTTTGGAATGATATAAAGAACTCTTACTACAAACTATTAATAACACCTTTATTTTAATATGACTTAAAAGTTAATATTCATAAAAACTAAGAGAGCTAGTATTTATCAAGCAATGATAAATATAGTTGGTTGTACATTTACAACATTATAGTGCTTGTAAAAGTTGAAATTTTGTGATCGTATATTTTGATCAAGTATTAAAGAAATATGGCTGTACATGGGTATTGTACCATGGTATGTTTGGACAGGCACTGCATCAAATTGTAACATTATGTTGACACAACAATATCAAAATATATTACTGTAATCACTATGTAATTAATCCAAGTACATGTTAATTAGTTTAATTTATCTGTTTAATCTTACTAGATGTATTTATATCAAGTTTCTGTATTACAGCTATTAGTGTAAGCAAGCCGGAGGAGAAAAGACTGAGAGAAGAAAATGAAAAACTTAAAGTTAAAATAGACACACTGAAAACAGCACTGATAATGTGTGAAATTAAAAATGGAGGTATAATATTTTAACACTGCAATCTTAGCATATTAAAAAATATTAATGACAGTTGATATAAGGTGGCGAGATAGCTCAATTGGTTAGACCACTGACTGTCACTCCTGAGGTTCCGGGTTCGATCCTGAGTAACACCCTTGGGATTTTTCAGAAACACTTTCAGTGTTTCCCACCTAACTAGAGGTTTACTGGTACGAAACCCAGGTAATCCTCGTATGTATCAGTGCTATACACTGGGCATGTAAAAAGAACTGTTACAGGGTTAAATATTTTTTGTAGAAAGAAACAAACTTTGGGCGTAGGTTTGATGTTTTTTTAATGAATTTAAGTAAAAATGGTTTAAAAATATAATTTATTAATAATTATACATTTTACAAATACAATACATGGAAAAACAAAATACAATGAAATAACAATATATACACAATTGACGCGGAATAAGAAAATACAAAAATACACAAATAAGATTACAATTAATATGTTAATTTTAATACAATTTTTTACCACAGCGTTTGTAATTAAACTATTTTAATATAAATTGAAATAGGTAAAGTAAATGTATATTTATATAAATGTTAAGTTTTTACTATGTTTGACTTGTAAGAGATGACTGTAAAGAGTGAGCGGGACAGGAAAAGCAAACAGTGCGCAGAAGTAAAGAATATTTAAAAGAACCAATGGATATTTTTTTTACATAGAATTATACATAACAAACACAACAATTGGATAAGTTACAAGAAAGAAAGAGTGACCAGTGTTTACGATATTGCACGGGTGAGATTGACAATGTACATTATTGACGGAAATTGTTGATTTTTACCGATTTAATACCGGAAGTTAAACTTATACGATAAAACCTAAACGAAACCGAATAAAAACGCGCGTGCACGATGTTTCCGCTTAAACAAAACTATGGAAAGCCACGACTGCCATTACCATATAATTTTAATTTGTGACATTCTTCCCTGGTAGGAGAAAATGGCTTTTGACATTTTTTTACACTAATTAATTTACAGAATTTATTAACAAGTTAAAATACATTTAAATTTATACTACCTAACCTATTTTAGTAAATTTAAGTAAATTTTAGCAATATTTATTTAATAATTAAACTGAAATTAATTTTAAATTTTAAGGCAAAATTTTTTTAAAACAATTACTGAAGTAAAGATTTTGAACATTTGAAAAGTTTTTAATTAATAAACAATTGCGAAAATAATACATTTGCTGAAAATTAAAATATTAACAATTATTTGCTGAAAATGAAAATATTAACAATTATTTTTTAATTTGCATTAACCTATAATAAAACACATTTAAAAACATACTTTATTTTATTAATGTATACTGAAATAGATATATAAGAATAACATGACTTTAAGAGTAATGGTACATTAAAGGCACATATTGACAATTAGCATGTTAAAGGTACAACACTAAATTTGTTAACATTAAAGGTACTGCGCCATATTTTTTGAAAAGATAAATATAACATTTTTAGACACAAAATTTAGATAAAATATTAAAAAGAAATGCATTTAATATGAATTATTAACCTTAACATTTTGAAATGCAATATACATATTTTATTTACTTGTACTTTTTTGAAAATTTGAAATGTAAATTGCACACACAGAAATAATAATGATTTTTAGCTCGACTTTTCTATGAAAAGGGGAGCTATCCTACTCGCCCCGGCGTCGGCGTCGGCGTCGGCGTCACACCTTGGTTAAGTTTTTCGTACCACCCCACTTTATTTCAGAAGTATTACAAGTATGGCTTTGAAACTTACCATACTTGTTCACCATCATAACCTCCATCTACAGACAAGAGTACATAACTCTGTCAAGGTTTTTGACAGAATTATGGCCCTTTTTTGACTTAGAAAGTGTATTGAGCTTGGTTAAGTTTTTTGTACCACCTCACTTTATTTCAAAACCATTGGACGGTATTGCTTTGAAACTGACCATACTTGTTTACCATCACGACCTTCATCAACAGACAAGAGGACATAACTCTGTCAAGGTTTTTGACAGAATTATGCCCCTTTTTGACTTAGAAAATACATTGAATATGGGTAAAATCCACTTATTGCCTTAACCCTTTGAGATATTGCTTTGAAACTTTTAATGCTATTTCACATCATTACCCCCATCTGTACGCAAGAGAAGGTAACTCTGTCAAGGATTTGTTTTAAAAATTAAGGCCTTTTATCGACTTAGAATCTTGGTTAAGTTTTTAGTACCAGTCCACTTTTTGACTGAACTGTTTGAGATATTAATTTGAAAGTTGGAATACTTGTTTACAATCATGATTCCCAAACATGTCCAGGAGAAGGTAATTCTGTCAAAGATTTTATTTGAATTATGGCCCTTAACTGTCAATGTTTTGTATTACTGCAAAAACTTTTTTTATTGGCAAGCAATAAAAAAGTCGAGCGCGCTGTCTTACGGACAGCTCTTGTTGATATAGATTTTATGTTTAAACCTGAAACTTTATAACTATTTTGTAATGTAAAACACAGAAATTAAGTTTAGTAAACAAAACACATATAAATTAAAACTGAAATACAATATTTTAATAATTTATATGGAAAACTAAAAGTTATATTTATTATGTGACATTTTTTTTTGATTTGCAAAAGATTGAGGATACAAAATGTTATGATTTTGAAAATTAACATTTGCTGTAATGGGTTTAACCCACTTACCATACCTTTTTGGTGGTTTTTTAACCCTTGATGACCTTTGAACAATACTGGGGTTATTTGTAACAAGAGAAAAATTGTTACTATTAGAAACATTAGTATTTAAATTACTATTTGATAAAATAGCATTATTATGGGAACTACTAAATTGGTTTTTACCTGAAAAATTAGAATATAGGTTATTAACAGAAAAATTATTTTTAAAATGTAAATTTGGAGAAACATGTTGACTTTTTAAATTTTGAGAAAATAATGACATTTTTTTACCAGTAGATGACAACTGATTTTTACAAACAACATGTGTATTGTTGGTTGGCTGCACCGGTTTTAGTACACGGGGTTTGGATGCTGGTTTTTTATGTGGAGGAATGTATTTAGGAGTTTTACTTTTTGTGCTGCAGTTTGAATTTGACTTTTGCTTTGGTACAACTTTTATAGTTTGTTTTTTTTTGTTTGGTTTGGCTTTTGGCTTAGAAACCTGCTTTTTACTTTGTGTTTTATTGTAAGTGTACGGTATAGACATTAGAGGAAGAAGGAGGTTTTTATGTAGGGTTTTTTTTTTTTTTTTGCCAGCTTTTTTTTTTAGTTTGTAGACTGGAATGTTTTTATTGGGGATGCCTACTATGATGTAAGGTTTTTTTTTTTACTTGTTATTGTGGCCACCAGTGTTACAGGGTTAAATATTTTTTGTAGAAAGAAACAAACTTTGGGCGTAGGTTTGATGTTTTTTTTAATGAATTTAAGTAAAAATGGTTTAAAAATATAATAGATTAATAATTATACATTTTACAAATACAATACATAAAAAAACAAAAATACAATAAAATAACAATATATACACAATTAACGCAAAATAAAAAAATACAAAAATACACAAATAAAATTACAATTAATATGTTAATTTTAATACAATTTTTTACCACAGCGTTTGTAATTAAACTATTTTAATATAAATTAAAATAGGTAAAGTAAATGTATATTTATATAAATGTTAAGTTTTTACTATGTTTAACTTGTAAAAAATAACTGTAAAAAGTAAGCAAAACAAAAAAAGCAAACAGTGCGCAAAAGTAAAAAATATTTAAAAAAACCAATAAATATTTTTTTTACATAAAATTATACATAACAAACACAACAATTAAATAAGTTACAAAAAAAAAAAAGTAACCAGTGTTTACAATATTGCACGGGTAAAATTAACAATGTACATTATTAACAAAAATTGTTAATTTTTACCAATTTAATACCAAAAGTTAAACTTATACAATAAAACCTAAACAAAACCAAATAAAAACGCGCGTGCACAATGTTTCCGCTTAAACAAAACTATAAAAAGCCACGGCTGCCATTACCATATAATTTTAATTTGTAACAGAACCAAGGCATCTATTCAATAAGAGCTAGGGACTGGTTCCCAGATTTCCTTGTATCTCATAGCTGTCTCTAGTGTCTGCTTAGGTAAGGACCCTACTGGAAATAAGTGCTTGCACTTTCATAGGTAATCCTTGACTGCCCGGTCTAAAGAAAATCATTCAATCAATCAATCATATTACCAGAATTAGCTGGTTGGAAGCAATGTGTTCTGAATCTCAAATTCTTGAAAGTGTTTTGGTCCTTATGTGGTTCTTGCTTTTTACCAGATGATGCAGTTGCTTATCCCTTATCACTCTACACTGTTGGCTAACAAACCTAATTTTTAGCTCACCTTAGCACAGAGTGCTCATAGGTGAGCTTTTTTGATGGCAGTGTGTCCGTCTTACATTGTTGTCCACACTTTCTTGAAACAAAATCTCCTAAACTACATAGACTTTGATCAAACTCTATAGCAAGGATCCTTAGAAGGTCTTCAGGAGCTCCTCAAAAAAAAATATAAATGGTTCCAGTCTGATGCACAAGTAGGTCACAGAAGCTAAAAAGGACTTTTTTTTTAAAAAAAGAGCCTTTCAAAAATCTTCTCAGAAACTACAATGCCCAGAGCCTAGATATTTAGCATGTAACATCACCTTGTGTTCCACTACAATACTTATAATTCATGCCCCTTGGGTCAAAAATGGTCTGTCTTAGTGGTCAAATAGTTTTTTAAACTAGGCTTTTCTAGGAAAATGAATTTAAGTCTTCTTTTATGATAATGCTATGCCAAAAGCTTTACATATTAAGCATGTAGTATTGCAAAGATGACCTCTACAAAATTTTCATAAGTCATGCCCCTGGGGTCCAAAATGGCCCAGCTCTGGGAGTCACTTGTTTAACAAATAATCAGCCTGGAGAAAAAAATCCATATCACCTCATTACTGGCTTTAACCTTTTCTAGCAATATATCTCAGTTGAGCTATCCATGGCCATCATGGTCCTCTTGTTTTATCTTGAAAATAGTTTCAAATCTCGAGCCTTATTTCCTTACAAAACAAAAATGTCCAGACATATTGTAAAAATAATGTTACTTTGACCATTCTGCAAGAGAATGATATATTTGTTTTGTTTAGAAATCTTTACACTAATATGAAATATAGGGCCGTCCGTTAAAGTTGATTTCAAACCACTTAACCCTCACTGCTGTGGGTTCGAATATTTAAGGTACTTTGTATTCTTTCATGTGAGGAAGCTACCCAGTTTGCCTACGGAATGATTGTGGTTCTACTCTGGTGCCCACTTGTGTGTGAAATAATAGCCAAAGTGGCACATAATATCTCCCCCCACTAGTGATTGTGCAAGTCTCTATATGACCTTTAAAATATTGGTGTGGCGAACAAAATTATAAAGGGAACCATTTTTTTACTGTAGTGAAACAGGTACCAATCCCAACAAAGAAACTGAAGATGGAACCAGCTGGTGGGGACAGTGCTTCACAGCCAGAAACTAAAACTGCAGAGGTTAAACCTCAGGTTGCCAAGGAAACCAAACCTAAACAAGAAAAGAAGGGAAAACAAGAAGATGCTAATAAAAAGAAGGGGGATGGTTAGTTGAATGATTTAGTGAATTAATGTGAATTATACTTTTGGAAACAACATGTACATTGTGAATTTGAAAATTGTTCACCCATTTTCAGGATTTTTTTCCCTGCTGAAAAGTCATAAATGATATTGTGAAAGATGTTAGTTGTGCCAAGTTCTTCATATTCTTTCGATGTGAGGAAGCTACCTGGCTTGCATACAGTAGGTAGATGGTTCCACTTAGGTGCATGCTCATGTCTTATGCATGTAAACATATATGAGGTGTTCCTCCACTAGTAAAGCTGAAATACCAACATATGACAGTTGGTTTTAATGTGACGTGATCCTATAAAGTAGAATACTTATTAAAGTTAAAGAGAGAAAGTTATTACAATACTTGATGTTTACTAGTATTTATCATAAAATGAAGGCGCAGGAGTGTTATAAAATCATTTAATAAAAACGATATTACACTTGTGTCATAACATTTTGACATGACTTAATTTTTGTTATATACAAACATAGCGTTAAAGCATGCTTATGTTTACGTTACACTGTAGGGGCATCATCTAAAACTGACTCTTTTTAACTTTAGACTGTATTTATTTTGGATACTTGATAAATAGAATATAATATTTGTGTACATTCAATATTCAATTTATTGAACTGGTTGAATAAAACAATATTATGCTGGCCAGAGGCTTGCATAATATGATTTTATACAACTTGTTCAATAAATTAAGTATTAAATCTACAGTCATTCAATATCCTCTGTATATTGAATACTCATTTGTAACATTATTGTTGACAAATGAATAATGTATGAAACATTTTATAGCAGATTCAGGTAAAGGGAAAAAGAAAGATGCAGCAGCCGATGCTGACAGACCAATAGATATTTCTCGCCTTGATCTGCGTGTTGGCAAGATTGTTGGCGTGAAGAAACATCCTGATGCTGACAGTTTGTATGTAGAAGATGTGGACCTTGGAGAGGGGCAGACTCGAACCATTGTGTCCGGCCTGGTGAAACATGTACCAATAGAAGAGGTTAGTTTGTAAAACTTAATACCAGGATGTGACCTATGCAAGATTTTGTTGATAGTAAAATTTCAATTGATATGTTAACACTTTCCTGTTAAATATTTCATACTCTTAAGTTATTTTCTAATATTGCCATATTGGAGATAATTTTACTAAAGAAAATAGTTATGATGATTGATAATAATAAAGATGAATTTGCTGAAAAGGCAAATTGACATGTGTTGAAATGACAATATATGCCAAATAAATTATATTTTAACTCACCTTAGCACAAAGGGCTCAGGGTGAGCTTTTGTGATAGCAAAGTGGCTATATTTGTTTACATTTTCTGTAATCAGCATCTTTTCCTATAACACCACAATGTGATTTTGACCACAAAATGATCCTTGGATAGCATTATTCGGAAATTACATAAGTAGCTTTAGTCACATGGAAAAGAAGATAACAAGAGTTAAAAAACAAAACTAAACCTAAAAAGGAAATTCTTTAAAAATATTCTCAGAAATTACAATGCATAGATATACATGTAAGAAATTTGGCATCTTTGGATCACCTAGTTTATGTAGGCGTTTTAAGGGAAACACATTTAAATCTTTTTGTTTGAAATTACATGTACAGTTCCTTAACTTTGTTCAACTACAATACCCAGATGTGTAGCATTTCCTAGCTCTTACCTGATTACTTTTTCCTGCCTTTAATAATAGTGACCTTTTCTAGCAATTTATCTTATGTTAGCAATCTACGTCATCATTGCCTTCTCTTTCTCAATTACAGATCTCTGAATATATTAATGTAAAGTGTGTGTCAGTTTAGTAAAACACATTGAAATTAATGGGAAAAAGTATCATTATTGTTGGTCTTTTTCATCCAGTGTCTTAATCCTATATTGTCATTTATCAATAGTTATCAATTTCATCCATCCTCTGTTATTTTTAGCTTTTATACTCAGGTGAGCGATATATGGACATCATGGCCCTCTTGTTTTCTTTCAGTGTCTTAATCCTGTATTGTCATTTTGTATTGGGAAATTGCTCAAATTAATAACCTAAATGATATTTAAAGATTTTTTGTTGTTTTTGCCTATAAGTTAGAACTAATTGATTTTATTTTGACAGATGCAGGATAGACTAGCAGTGTTTATGTGTAATTTGAAAGCTGCCAAGATGAGAGGAATCTTGTCACAGGGGATGATAATGTGTGCCAGCTGTCCTGAGAAAGTAGAAATACTTCTTCCACCACCCGGAGCTCAGATTGGAGATAGAGTATTTGCAAAAGATTACAAAGGTAATGTCCCTTCACATGTTATTTTAAAATTTTGACTATTAATAAGCAGAGTCACTTTTCTGTGTTGCCAGCAAGTGTAGTCAGTCTTGAAAGATGTTATAGTTTTTATACCCCCGCACAACAAAGTTGTAAGGGGGGTATACTGGAATCAGCTTGTCCGTCCGGCCGTCCGTCCGGCTGTCCGTCGGTTTTTTCTTGTCCGCCCAATAACTTAAGATTCCTTTGACCCTTAGTCTTCATATTTGGCATGGAGGTTAGTCATGACCAGTAGATGACCCCTATTGATTTTGAGGTTACTAGGTCAAAGGTCAAGGTCACAGGTGCCTTGACTTCAAAAAGCTTGTCCGCCCAATAACTTAAGATTCCTTTGACCTTCAGTCCTCATATTTGGCATGGAGGTTAGTCATGATTAGTAGATGACCCCTATTTATTTTGAGGTCACTAGGTAAAAGGTCAAGGTCACAGGGGCCTTGACTTCAAAAAGCTTGTCCGCCCAATAACTTAAGATTCCTTTGACCTTCAGTCCTCATATTTGGCATGGAGGTTAGTCATGATTAGTAGATGACCGCTATTGATTTTGAGGTCACTAGGTCAAAGGTCAAGGTACACAGGGGCCTTGACTTCAAAAAGCTTGTCCGCCCAATAACTTAAGATTCCTTTGACCTACAGTCCTCATATTTGGCATGGAGGTTAGTCATGATTAGTAGATGACCCCTTTTGATTTTGAGGTCACCATATTAAAGGTCAAGGTCACAGGGGCCTTGACTTCAAAAAGCTTGTCCGACCAATAACTTAAGATTCCTTTGACCCACAGTCTTCATATTTGCATGGAGGTTAGTCATGATTAGTAGATGACCCCTATTGATTTTGAGGTCACCAGGTTAAAGGTCAAGGTCACAGGGGCCTTGACTTCAAAAAGCTTGTCTGCCCAATAACTTAAGATTCCTTTGACCCACAGTCTTCGTATTTGGCATGGAGGTTAGTCATGATTAGAAGATGACCCCTTTTGACTTTGAGGTCACCAGGTCAAAGGTCAAGGTCACAGGGGCCTTGACTTCAAAAAGCTTGTCCGCCCTATAACTTAAGATTCCTTTGAACAACAGTCTTCATATTTGGCATGGAGGTTAGTCATGATTAGTAGACTAGTGACCCCTATTGATTTTGAGGTCACCAGGTCAACGGTCAAGGTCACAGAAGCATTGACTTCAAAAAGCTTATCCGCCCAAAAACTTAAGATTCCTTTGACCCACAGTCTTCATATTTGGAATGGATGTTGACCATGATTAGTAGATGACCCCTTTTGATTTTGAGGTCACTGGATCAAAGGTCAAGGTCAAAGGGACTTTGACTTTGACCACCCATTAACTTAAGATTCCTTTGACCCACAGTCTTCATATTTGGCATGGATGTTGATCATGACTATAAGGTGACCCCTATTGATTTTGAGGTCACTGGTCAAAGGTCAAGGTCACAGGGACCTTGACAAAAAAAAAAAGCTTTTCTTCTCAATTGCTAAAGAATGTCCTGTCGACAATGTATTGATTTTAACTTTTTCACATTTGAAGCATGTAGAATACATAACTTAGCAATGCAATGGCTTAGTAACCTCAGATTTCGCAGGGAGATTGTCCTTGAGCTCTAAATGGCCACTGTTGATTCTGACAAAGTGGTATGCGTGGGTATTCACGCCATGATAGTGGCAGTTCTAGTTTTGAAGGTTTTCGGTTTATCCAAGTTGCTAGTCCAAGCCTCTCTAAGGTTTTTCTCTCTCCTCCCGAAATGATTGAGAAAAGAAAATGGAGGAATCTGCTTCTGGACTATTCTACAAAAAATAAAATCACCAGCTTTTCATGGAGCTCATAGAGACTATGAAATTAACTGATTACAAAAAAGCGCAATCACTACTCAATGCGTACACATATAGTATATTTCTTCACTGTTACTTGGAAAGTCTCAAGGTGAATGATGTTGATTTGATTTGTCATCTAAATCTTTTTGTAAAATAAATACCATCCTGAAACGTAATCAGTCAGGGAGAATGAGTACCCTTAGAATCTATAAAAAGTGTCATGTGTCTCTGATCATACATACATAACTGCAACTTTGTTTAAGATAGATATTTTTAACGCAAGCATACAAGCATATTTACAAGTGAAAGTCTGTGAAACATCTTGTTGTTGGAACTTGCTGGCTTTTTGGATGTTGCCATTTTGGCATAGATTTCATGTTTTAGTAACAGATAGTACAAACAGCCAGTTCAAACACATGGAAACAGATGGAAACAGATGGGAAATTAGACCTTTCTTTTTTTGTAAAGCACATGTTCCTTAAAAGTGATTACCTTTTCAAAATATGACTGGCATAGATTTGAAAACACTTCTGTCTGGTGTTAAGATATCTAGGTGCTGTTTTTTTAATGTGCACTTGACAAATATATGCAACCCAAAATTATCATATGTGTAGTCAATGAGAACATGTATGTATATAATTAACATTTCTATATTTAGGTGAACCTGATGCCTTATTGAACCCAAAGAAGAAGATATGGGAGACAATAAAACCTGACCTTCAAACAGATGGGGACAAAGTTGCAGCATATAAGGGCTCACAACTATTTATTGATGGAAAGGGGCCAGTAGTTGCTCCAACAAGAGCCAATACACAGATATCATAGTGCTATAACATGATATATTATTTATAAACAGCAATGGTTAATAGAAAAATAAATATGAAATATTTTCATTCTAATTTCCTTTTGAACTACATGCATATGGAGTAGTTATAGTCATTTTTAGCTCATCTTTTTTTGAAGAAAAAAAAAGCTATTGCTACAGTCATTGACTGTTGCCATAATACTGTAATGTGAGTCATATTTATATGCTCCCAAAGAGCGCCATATAGCTATCGCACTGTCAGTCTGTCCATCCAATATTCTTGTCCACCCTTCATCTCCAAAACCGATGTTTGAATTATATTTCAGTGAAACTTCACAGGATTGTTTTTCACCATGCTTAGCTGTGCATAATATCTTTATTTTTCACCTAAATTTATTTTGGCATAGTTATGGCCCCTTAATGGTCAATTTTCAAGTAAAATAAGCTTGTCTGCGCTTTATCGCTAAAACTGATAGGGGGATTTCAGTGAAACTTCACAGGATTGATTGTCATCAAGCCTGGTTGTGCACAGAATTTTGGTTTTTCAGTAAATTAACTTTGTCCATCCTTCAACTCCAAAACACTTGGGAAATTTCAGTGAACATTTATAAAATTGTTTGCTTGGTGTCATGATTTTCCAAGTCTAGTTGTGCATTGTCCCATGATTTTGTGCATGATTTTTTTTTTTTTGCGCAGTTATGGGCCTTTGATGGTGAATTGTTTTTAGCAAACTTTGTTGAAATTATTTCTCCTACATTTCTAATGCAATAAGATTGTCTCTTGTTACAAGCTAACATCATTTGAATTGGTCAGTATTGGTCAAGGCTTCATGGTTTATATCATTTTTACCTTGACTTTTATATTATCTCTGTAACAATGTGCAACTCGTACACCTTTGAAGAAATCTCAACAAAACTTTCATAGAACTATGCTATTGACATGACAAGTTTTTGTTTATGGTCATTACCTTCATACTAACAAAGCTTTATTATTGAAATCTTTATTATAGTGCAAATTGATAAGTTTTATCTGTCCCTCACATTTCTAGGTCAAAAGGTCACTGTGACCTTTAATAAGAAGATAAAACTGGCTATTAAATCAAAGTGCATTGACCTAGGAACTTCAGATTTTTTTGTAAGTTCTACCTTCAACGTCCATTTTCTGGTCAAAAGGCAAATGAGACGGATCTTGTTTGACAGAGTACTTACACTTTATTGTTTTCAGTAAAATATGTTATATACAAAGATATACTTTTATGACTGCATGTCTTTCATTTTTCAAGGGGTTACAAATTTTCAACTAAACTTTCACAAAATTTTCCCCCAATGTGCCCGGTTCATTTTGTCAGAGCTTTGTAATTAAATCATTTTTGTGAAATATATAGGCCCATTTTTGTTATATGTACAATTTATACAAAAGAAAATATTATTCTGTTGTTACTTCATAAAATTACCACAGAATTATTTTCATTAAGTGCACTTGTGCATATTTTTTAGGTTTGCAAATTAAATCAGTTTTAGTTTGTCTGTTTTGAAGAAGAAGTATTGCTGTGTGTTGTCGTGGTCATTGATCGTGCAAAAACTTTAATGTAGACTATTATTTAAACATTTCAAGACATCTTAACATGAAACTTGGAATATTTGCTAATCAGGACAAGTTGCAGTTGTTAGACAAGGGCATTATTCTGAAAGCAATATTTTTGGAGCTATTCCCCTTCTTGACGCCTCATATGGTGCTCTAAGTCTTGTTTTGAGAAGTTATGACCATTTATTTATTTTTTTTAAATCCATTTATATTAATTAAATTATAGAGGAACACTTCTGTGCACAAGGCTTCAAACATTACTGAAGGGATTTGAACCTATTGCTAACCTGATTTGTGACATATTCTCAAAAAAGACATGCACTAACTTAATTAGTACCACATTAACCTTCACTTGTTTAACTCTTCACAACAAATTGTCACTGCTTGTGTAGTTGTATTATATTCTGTAAATACAAATTGGGGCGATTAGAAAAGAATTGGGTATATTTTCGTGTTACATAATGTGTTACATCATGCTTGCATAAAGTTTACTTTTCCAATCTTCGGATATCTTCCGAAACTCCTGTGATACATGTAATGTCCCGTGGGGATTTTTAAAAAATCCCGATATTACAACCCTGATCCCGATATTACAGATTAAATTCCCATAGTCGATCGTCTGTCAATGAAAAAAAATAACTTTAAAAAAATCAAACAGCACCTGTATATCATGCGTAAACCGCGCCTTAAACCTGTCTTATACCCCGGTCACATATTCACGGAATACGCCCACGGAAGAGCCACGGATTAATTCCGGCATCGTCCGTAGCTACCCGTACTGGTCAGTAGCTCTCCGTATTGTAACCGTAATCAATCGTAGTAGTCCTTGTATATCCGTAGCGATCCTTGACAATTTTTGAACATGCACAAAAAATTGCTACGGAAAAATCAACAGTAGCGTATCCCTACTAGTCCGTATTAATCCGCACTGGTCCGTACGAAAACCGTACTAGTCCGTACTGATTCGTAGTCCACCAACTTGTCAAGGATTTCCACGGTTTTGGTACGGAGAACTACGTATTTGTAGGTTACCCTACGTATAAGCTACGGTTTTTAATACGGATTAATACGGCATTGTCACGGAAAAGCCACGATCGTAATACGTTGTACTACGGGAGGGCAAGGATTAGCACGGTCTTATACGGTTTATTGCGTTGCAACACGAAACGGTACGGAATGGTACGGTCCACCACTGTTTAGTAACGGATGAATTAAGTATCATGTACTTTTTCAAGGGTATAAATACTACCTTCTTGTTAAAAACAGACATATTTGCGGAAACATTTAATAAATGATAATTGCTCTTTACTGGCTGCAACTTTATATTGAAATGGCTGAGAATGCGGAGGCAGTGGTCGAGCTGCTTGATGACATACATAGAAGTAAATTTATATTAATATCGTACTACAATTCATAAGTAAAAGAATAACATTTAATGTTACATATTTTACAAACATTGGATCGTGAAAATGGAGTAAATACGTACATAAAACGAAGTGTCTCATAAGCCTCGGAGGCTGGCCCTTGAGTGATAATAAGATTAATTAACAAGCTTTTTTACATATTTTTAAAACATAAACATCACGATAATTAATGTAATTGTAAGATGAACATCAAATCTTAAAATTAAAAGAGAAGCAGTATTGATCAACATTTTTCATTAATGATTACTAGTCCATATCTAATCAAGAAAGAGAAGACAGACGAGATGGTGGACTAGAGATGGGCTTTTACGAAGACCGCTTCAAGTTAAGTATGAGGCTCTCATGGCTGAACTTGTTGAGGATCCAGCGTCCTTCAAGAAATTCACTTTAATCGGACCTGATGTGTCTCGGGGGTCGGGCGCGATTAGGCCGAGTCCTCTCCGCCAAAATCATTGAACTCTGCCATTCGTTTTCTATGTGTTCTTTTCTTTTGAGGCATTTTGAAAATGAGCAAGCAAGAGGTTGTGGACGGATGTATTAGGTCCGTATAGATCCGTGGCAATTCGTTCTTCTCCGTATCAATACGTTCTTCTCCGTATCAGACCGTACTTATTCGTACTAACCCGTGCTTATACCGTAGCAGACCGTAGTGTATCCGTAGTGCGTCCGTCCTGATTCGTATCGCTCCGTATCAAACCGTGTTGGTCCGTAACAATCCGTGTCACTCCGGGAGCTTTTGGTGGTAAATCCGTCGGACTCCGTAATCATACCGTTGTTTGTCCATACTGGAACCGTAGCGGACAACGAAATTTCACATTTCCATAGTAATCCGTGAACGATTAGACCGTAGCTCTTCCGTGGCATTATCCGTGAATATGTGACCGGGGCATTACGACAACACATAAGTTATTGATATTATGCTTGATAGCTTGATATATGTGATCTCACATAAGTTATGTTTTCTCTCTCTTCTGAAATAAATGAGAAAATAAGTTGGAGAAATCTGCCTCTAGATTAGTCTAGAAAAAAATAAAATCGCCAGCAAGTCAACTCCATGTACACCGTGTACAGTAAAGACTGTCTTAGCGACCCCCTGTATATAGCGACGTTCTGTCTATAGTGACCATAGTTAGGTGCGCCGAACAGTATTTACTATATAAATGGTCTGTGTGTAGCGACTCCCTGTCTAGTCCGTACAACGACCATGATTTAGTCACCCGTTACGGTATTTGAGCCGTGAACAACGACTTTTGCAAGGATAACAAGGCTTGAACTAGGTGACGACTTTGGCGAACAAGTCGCCTTCGGATCAGCGACTTTGCCTAAAACAAACTTCAAAGAGATTTTGAAGTCGCCCGATTTTTATAATTTTCCGTCATACTTATTTACGCCGCTAGGTCTGTTAATAATTTTTTTGCCTCTCAATTACAACCAATTACCGTTAATCCGCTAATTAAGAACGCGTGTCAACATCAACAAAGTTCAATACACGCCGCAAGGCTTTATCTTTCTCATTACGTATTCATGCGATTGACAAATCAGAACGCGCGTTGTATCTACGGCAGTTTGCATTGACCAATCGGCAACACGCTAATACACTGTGGCTGTTTGTTGACAATTACACAAAATGGCGACAGATTCAATCAATTTTCGCCGATAGAATGATTAAAGACACCTGCATATACATAACTGCTGCGGTGTTTTGGCGAGGAAAGATAAACAATGCCAAACGTCTTAAAGGTGTGGTTATGTTTGAAACCTCGATTGTTATTTTTTTTCGGAGCACTTATCTGTAGAAATTATATGAAGATTTGTATCTAATGTTTTATTAAAACATTGAACTCCGTAAAGTAAACAGGCTGATTATACAAAATTAAATGTCTCTACAGTAACATCTCATTAGTATAATTGAAATTAAACATTTTTTACAAACAGATTTATCAATATAAATTACATTATAATGAATATGTAACTTTTAAATACTTATGTTATGGTGTACAATGTAGTTTATAATCTTAACCAATTATACATGCAATTTTAATACTCTCTTGTTTTTTATAAATGATATTTGATATG